GGGGGGGGGATCAGACGAGTTGCTAGCTAATCCCGATATTCTCTACTGCTGACATGCTCCCAATGGACACAACGCAATCATACAGTTCTCGTCCCGAGGCAGAAGCGAGGAATGAAATTGGCTTGCTTTGGGAACTGCCAAGATAACAATAGAGTCCAGGTCAAAAGTATGATGCCAGACTTTTATTGTCCATGATCATAGTGTTCCCCGCCAGTCTTGGCATGAACGACAAATGCAGAGACTTCCACTTGGCGCTGTGGGTGAGCATTGCCCAAGTTACATGATTCCAGATCCAGATCGAGACACAGCCTCGGGACTTTGTCGCTTGGAAGAATTGTCGATGATCTCGTCTTTTCTCTTCTCATTGTCATCTTCTTACAAAGCCATAAGTGAAACCTTTGAAAACCTGATCTCATGGCACCACATAGCGTCGCAATGCAGCCCAAAGTGATGAGCATATCGCCTTCTACTAAACCGAGTGCCTGGACGCCATTGCTGCTATAAACTTTCGAGGACGTCCCGTCGCCGAGGTACTCGTAGTTCCACCCGATGATCCAAACTGTTCTTAGTACAGACATGGTCATGGCAACCAAGCATAATACTATAATTATCAACAGCCCGACCCTCTGTGATGGCTGCTTCATTCTGCATCCAATTAGGAATCATAGACACGAGAAAATCATGACATCATGTGATGGGCCAATTTGAATGGACCAAAGAATAGGTCAATACTCACAATCTCCAAGAAAGAAGCACGGGGATAATCACAGAAGCTAGATCCAGAAGGCTGTGGGCGGCTCGAGCAGGAGTCAGTTATCACAAGCATTTTATGATTTGTGTGAAAAGTACCAACATTGAGTGATAATGGCCCAGTATACTGAGACATTTGGGCCCCAGCGACGTTCGTACGGTAGATCCACTTCCCACAGCGCTTCGGCTGGGCTTATCTGGAAGAATGTGACCGGCACCACAGTGATAGTGAGCAGAGATGCCACAGCGAGGAGACTGATCAAAAGCCGTCGGTACCAGATATGCACAGAAAATAGGCGGATCAAAAGTATAACAATGGAAAGTCTCGCTAGGATCGAGACTGTCGCTTCGAAAGGAATGCTTAGAAAGTTGTACTTGAGATCATTTTGAAAGTCAATATCAAACTCCTGGTCTGTTGGCGCGTTCCGAAGCTCGTACATCGTTGATAATGTTGCGAGCGTCCGCCTGATGACCTGGAATATCTTTGGAAATTTGTGTGTCAGCACATATACGGTCTCACATTCTATTTCTCAATCCCAGTCTTATGTCCTTGATTGTAACCACTTTCCATGGATCGTTGAGAGACTGCGAGGCTTTCAGGATCATTCTGATTGTAAACTTACCAGTGCTAATAGCATTATCCAATCTTCCCAACCAAGTTTACCGGCCCTGCGCACATATAGGCGAAGAGAAACCATAATTATGCTGATGCCTGTCAGTGCTAATGGTAGGCCCAAAAGCACGTTGGTCTGCATGTTTGGCGGCGAGTCTATATCACAGGAGATTCTGAAGAACGAACCTGGAAAATTACTAGGTGTAGATATTGCGAGAACCCTGCTTCCTGAAGATATAAAAGAAGAGAAGGGGAAAATCAAGAAGCGCCATTGAAAGCTGTCGTACAGGACGACACATGAAAGAGTCTTGAATCTGTCGCTTGTACCACATGCTACGATGTACAACCCTCCCATTTCGGACATACTGTACGGGTGTAGTTATAAGTATTGTATCGGCCACCTTACAGCCAGTGGTAAACGAAATATATGGAGCTCATGTTGCCAGCCGCATCCGCCCTGCCTGGATCCGGCTTGACGTTGGTATGCATGGAACCGAAAATCTCATGGCCTGTCTATCAACATGGAAAGATGCAGTTAAAGGACAGCACGTATATGAAGAGCTGGTACGTTTGGAACAGAGGACGCTTGAAAGATATGCTACAACCAGACCCGCAAGTGCAGAATTCTCAGTACATAAATGCCGATCTCTTCTTGAATGATCTTCCTCGCACGACATACATGATGAAACGCATAAACGTGTATTTGCATGATCGAGGTGATTGGGATCACTTTTCCATCGCCATCGCAAATTTCTTTTACGGGGGATAGACATAACAAACGCGCATTTTTAGTTTTTAGTAGTCGACCCAATGTCGCCCCAGCGAATATTGGAAAAGACGACATGTGTATCAGGATGGTTAGACTGAATGTACGCAGGTGTGCTGTCTGCAACATTGCAAGGGCCGTTGCTGCCGGCGTCTAGCCATGCCATTTGCTGCGCGGCATCATTCCAGATGCTCATGGCCAGGACCACTGTGGTTCTTGTCAGCAATCTTCACGCGTTGCGGCCTTGAGCGGACTTGTACGACTTACTGCCTCGGCCCAAGGCTTGTCCCATACCTGCAAGCCCACCGGTGCCATCGTTGCAGCTGGAGATGGTTCCACCATTGACTTGCTTGCCATTCTGAATATAGAGGCGCGTAATTTGCGTCAATGTACTGCTGCCCGCAAACTGCGTCACCACCGTGAACGGCTTGCTCGTGTCGACGGTGCCGCCAGTGGCCCAAAGGCTGTGCTGGCCACTTGCGTAGGGATTGTACCCGCATCCGCTCTTGTCGCAATTATTTCCGCTGCACGGGTGCGGCGTCATGGCCGTCGCCTTGGCGTTGGCCTCGAGGACGTCCATTTCACTGCAACAGTAGCCCTGGCATTGAGCGTCGCAGTAGCCCTGACCGGCTCCGGCACCGCCAGAGGAACCGCCACCGTCGGCCTTCATCTCGGAGAGGTAAAAAGCTCCATTCTCCCCACAGGGAACGGCCGAAAAGTCAACGTCTACGGATAACTCCTGATTGAGGAGGTTCATCATAACGTATTTGTTGTCAGCATCTTGCAAGTAGATGCGAGGAGAAGCTGGGTTGAGCGTGCTGCCCGATTTGACGTAGTGGTATAGAGTCACGGCGTTGCCCGAGGTTGAGACGCCCATGGCCGCATAGTCTGCCGCTGTCCTCGAGCCTGCAGTTCCTTGAGCATACTTGGAATCCTTGTCTAGAACGACAGAAGTGTTTTGTTGCACGCAGCCGCCCGAGGTAGTGCACCTCCATGTTGGGAGCGAGGGATGCTGCTCTGAGCTCTGAGCTATAACTGGGCGCAGCATCAGAGCCTTGATCAGGCTTACATAAATCAGTTTTGAAAACATGTTTAGCAATCTCGATATGCCTCAGCAAAGAAGAGTATGAATTGAAAGTACTCAGGAAGAGAGTAAAAGTCCCTCGTATTGTATTAGAATTTATTCGGTACGTTAACCAAGGAGTGTGCCGCTTGTCAATACTTGCCCGTCTAAGCTTCAAATCATTATCTCAATTGCCGTAGTGACGTCAAGGTTATACTATCCTTGAATCATGCAGGCTGTGCGTGATAGATTACAACGGTACGGGCGAACTGGCTTTATAAGATAAATTCCCGAACATCCGCCAAGCATAGTTGCCGTATGTAAAGTACTCCCAGAAGAGGTATTCTCCGGAACTCTTGCCCAGACTTGCAATCTAGATATAGATCACAAGGGTCGTCCAAATTAGAGTGTGCTAAGACGCTCCGCAAGATATTATTCGTTCTTGGCAGACGGAAGATGATATTGCGGCTTTGCATTGGACCAGCATAATAACCGGACTCTTGTCGATTGGAACCTATCCGGGTAAACTCATCACGCGCTCAGTCCCGCCCGAAGTTAGCATCAACCATGTACTAGAGCCAATGGTCAAATGATTATGGTTACAATATGATCTTGAATATCAGTGAAAGGGTGGGAAAGCAGGCCCGAATGCATAGATTAATTGCTCAAGGGCACCGGTATTAAAGGCTAGCATCTCGTCAAAAATTCCACACGAGCGTGTAATCTGCGCCAGTGAAATACCAAGTAGCTTCGAGTCGCTGTCTCTCGCCGTACTGTAGGGTTCATTTCATCTCTTTTCTATTCATTACTTTACATATCAAGTCGCCATGTTGTTCGCCACTGGCTTCACCACTCTAGCACTGCTCGCCGCAGAGGCAGCTGCTCACGGTGCCGTCACTAGTTACGTGATTGGAGGTACAACATACCCAGGGTAATTCAAGTCCTACAATGCTCTCCCCCATTACTCCAGTATCTAACATGTCCAATTGCAATTGCAAGATATCAGGGCTTTTCTCCCAACTCAAACCCCGTGATCCAACGCCAGTGGCCAGACTACAATCCAGTCACAACCGCCACGGACAGCAAGCTCCGCTGCAACGGCGGCACTTCCGCCGCCTTGTCAGCAAGCGTCAAGCCCGGCGATAGCGTCGAGGCCATCTGGGGCCAGTGGACACACGCCCAGGGACCCATCATTGTGTGGATGTACAAGTGCGCCGGCGACTTTTCGTCCTGCGACGGTAGCGGGTCCAACTGGTTCAAGATTGACGAGGCCGGCTTCCACGGCGACGGAAAGACCGTGTTCCTCGACACCGAGACGCCGAGCGGCTGGGACATTGCCAAGCTGGTCGGTGGCAACAAGGGCTGGACCAGCACCATCCCAGCCGGCCTGGCTGCGGGCAACTATCTCATCCGTCATGAGCTGATTGCCTTGCACCAAGCCAAGGCACCCCAGTGGTATGCCGAGTGTGCTCAGATCACAGTGACTGGATCTGGTACAGCGCAGCCAAGTGCCAGCCAGAAGGCGGCGATCCCAGGCTACTGCAAGCAAACTGACCCCAACATCAGCGTGAGTCCCTAGACATCGTCAAGTATTCTCAAGGGTAAGACAAAGTGCATTTTACTAATTGAATGGCGTTTAGGTGGCGATCAACGACCACACCATCTCACAGACCTATACAGTTCCCGGCCCTGCAGTCTTCAAGGGCACCGCTGCCAAGAAGGCCAGACACTTCACTGCTTAATTCACTCGCACAATGCAGCATGTGTGGCAGGATGGTCGAATTCTGGGCATGGCTTATGTAGTGCGAGCTCTCAACCCACTTCCAATTGACTATTACTCCTTCGACGACAATTCACTAATTTCAAATGCATGATGGGAGAGTTGAGTGGAATGTCAAACTAGTGTTTGTTCGTATTTAGTCCAGTATCGTTAAATTAAGACCACCTTACCATCATGTATGATATACGTCGATTTGACTCACAAGAAGTGACAAGTGTCTTCAGGCATCCAACTACGCCTTATGGTCGCGAGTGGGTTCATCAACATACAATTATTGAATTAGATTGAGGTTCATGCCTTCGTTATTTCATAGGCTGTCAGCTCATCTGGCAGCCTAGTATATACATTAGTCTTCTGACAGTGTCCTAGAGCAGGACAACAGTGCTGTTTGCCCAAAAGTCGCGACTGCTGAAGCCGGCATTGAAAGTAAATGCACCAGATGGAATGCGCCAATCTTGAGCTACGATATCCCAGTAGCTCACATCGCGACGCATCAAGTCAAAAGTAACTGTCTTGGTTTCGCCTGCCTCGAGCCAAATCTTGTCGAAACCACGCAACTGGCTAGGCGGCGTGCCCTCAGGCGTAGAGTCGGGGAAGCCGGCATACAGCTGGGGCACGGCATAGCCGGCCACACCACCAGTGTTTGTCACGTCGGCCTTGATGGTGTACACCGTCTCCCACAAGGCCGGGTTGCCACCAGGCATGGTGTCGCGGGCTGGGGGCAGAGCGGTCAAGTTGCTTGCCGATGAGTTGCCCGACAGTCCACTCAGGCTAAAGGTGGTGTAGCTCAGACCGAATCCGAATTCGTAGCGCGGAGTAATATCGTTGGCATCAAAGTGGCGGTAACCAACCTCGAGACGCTCGTCAAACCAGCTCTGCCAGTCGTAAGTACCGTTGGTCTGGACAGCTGTAGTCACGGGTGCGTTGTAGTCTGACTCATTGTATGCCATCACATAAGGCAACTTGGCCGATGGGTTGACCTTACCATACAAAAGGTCGACAATAGCATTGCCAGCCTGCTCACCAGGGTAGTGTGCGGCCAGGATGGCGGTGACGTTGGGATGGTCGGCGAATGGCAACACGTTGATACCGTTGGAGTGCGTGACTACAACTGTATTGTTGCAGTAGGTGGCCACAGCCTCTACTACGGCACTGCCGTTCCAATCCAAGTCCAAAGAGTCCCGATCCTTGTTTTCCTCGGCCCACGACTTGAGGAAAACGAGACAGACATCAGGCAACTGACCGATCCAGAGATCTGGAAGCGCCGTGGTAGTGAGAAGAGTGTTGTTGAGCCAGGACTGAACCAGAGCTCCATCTTGCTCAGCACGTCTGGTGATGGCGTCCAAGGGGTTCGACAAGGAGCTGAAGCGGCAAGTTCCAGAGCCACCTGCGTTGGGCAGCACACCGTACTCGTAGTTTACATTGTTATATGCGCCCTGGGTAATAGGACCAGCATCGTTTCCAAAAACGGCGATGCTCTTGGGTGCATTCAAAGGAAGTGCTCCATTCTCGTTCTTGAGAAGAACCGTCGATTCAGCGCCGTGCTGGCGGATCAAGACGCTGTGGTTACCGCGGACGTCCCGGTTGCTAGTTCCCGTAAAGGTCCAATCGTATAGCCATGTGTCGGGAGGGGAGTCGACATTTAGAGGGCCAACGGATGAATCGACACTGGGATAGTCTTGGTCTTGGCCAAGAAGGTAGTATGCTGATAGACAATCAGTAAGATAAATTTCAAAAGCGGTTCCATGATGGAGAACCTACGTGTCATTGTACGAATGACCATGTCATCCAGACGCGACATATCGACAGTGCCATTCTCAACAGCGGCAGTCAGATTCTTGCCAAAGTAAGAACCCTCCGTCCACATCTCACCGTACAAGGTGAAGCCACCGGGCATGGTCATATCCATGCCGCTCTCAATGGATGCGACTCCACTGTGAGTGGCGCCCCAATCCGACATCACATATCCTTGGAAGCCGAGCTCGGTCTTCAAGAGATGGTTGAGCGCCCACGAGTTCTGGCAAGAGTGAGAGCCATTAAGACGGTTGTACGAGCACATGAAGGAAGCGGCGCCACTGCGCACAGCGTTGGCAAATGGCCACATGTAGATTTCATGGACTGTTCGATCATCAATGTTGGACGAGACTGAGTCCTGGATGTACGTCGTGGCGTTGGCGTTGGGGTCGAAGGTTGGGTTACGCTGAGTCTCCTGTTCGTTGCCGATAAAGTGCTTTGCATTGGCTTGCACGCCGGCATCCTGGAAGCCAATGATGGTCTCCTCCATACATACACCGGTCAAGTAGGGGTCCGCAGCGAAGCCTTCCCAGGATCTCTGTATCAAAGTATTAGTCATTGTTCCACGTTTCATAATATTGGAGATTCCACTTACACCATTGTATGCGCTGCGGCCAAGAGGCCCAGCGACGGGACCTAGGATCACATGTGTTCCCTTGGCTTTGTGCTCTTCAGCAATTGCATAGGCGCGGTCGTAGATGAGCTTTCGGTCCCAACTAGCCGCAGCTGATACTCCGCTGACAAAGACACTCGAGTAAGTGCCTTCCTCGATTCCCTGAGGACCGTTCTGCAGACACAAGCCACTAAAGTTGAGGCGAGGAATGGGGAGTACGTTGCCCACGCAGGGGCCAGGTTGGCCAGTCACCATCCACGCCTTCTCCTCAAGGGTGAGTTGGGCTGTGAAGGCCTTGGCCTTGGCCATTGCCTCTTCCCATCCTCCAATTCCGGTTGTGTTTGCTGTTGACTGATCAGCAAATTTCCAAAGCAAAAAGGCTATGGAGTGCACTCACGTGATGGATATACAGCCGGTGAGTGACCGTAGGGGTCCAGGATAGTAGTATTCAGAGGTTGGACATTACTGAAAGCGGTGCCTGGATGGTTGATGGGTGTCTGGCAAGAATCGGCAGCCGCAGGAGCTAGAAGCAGCCCCGAGGCAACCAACGCATTTGCTACGGTTCTCATCATGTTGTGTCTGGGACGGGAGACTGGTCGCACTGGTTCCTACTCGCCAGCATTCACAGACCAACACCACGCCTTGTCTTATATAGAGAGTCATGCGCAAACATCTCGGCCGAGCTCTGTCCATTCTACGAAGCACCACCTCGATGCGTACATTTCGGGCACTCCACTATGATACCATTGCGGCCTCACATTTTGTCTCTTCTTCCATGCTCGCGCGTGACGACTTTTGGTCAACTTTCAAGGCGGCTCTTCTGGAAAGACTCGAGGGATACCGGGCCCCACACATCGGATCCTAGCCCGCGTGTGAATAGGGCCGACTTTACGAACCAGAGCGATAGAAATCCGGGGCACGCCCGCAGATCTCCAGCTTCACGCAACTCCAGCGGATCCCGATTATTTTCCAAGTGTCGTGCCGCGAGACGCGGAATCGCTCAGGCCATGGATCCAATGCTCCAGCAGTTTATTCCATGCATGCTCGCGCCATGTCGTACAAATTGAGACTTCGTTATAGACCTCTAACGTATGTTACAGCCTGTGTTGAACAAGATTGTTTTATTTTCGGTGTCTATATCTTCAACTTCTTTGCTGCGAATCGAGAAGATAGGGATCACAACTTTGGTTGCAACAGTTAGAGAAGATGAACAAAACAACTTGGCTTGAACCACTATTCCGGAAACTCCGAAAATAATGTTAGCGTACGTCATCCTGAATGGAGTTTCCCGGAGCAAGAGCCTCGTACTAGCCATAGTACAATGTAGGAGTAGTTGACCGCCCACGGCCAAGGTTCCATGAACAGCAAAAATATTGTGACTGTCACGATACGATGATATGGGCTGATGGAGCCGGAAATTGCTGACTTCTCGTGCTTCTGCCCGTGATGAGACGAAGTTTTCCCGACGTAGCGACGTCATTCGGATATCGGATGACAAGAACCTGCGGACATAGGGGTAGGGTAGCCAATCGGAAAGTCGAATCGAAGTCAAATGCGGGCCGCAAAATGCTTGTTCTCGGCCCTACCACGGACCCCCAGACTTCAAGACCCCATACCAATATGGTCAACCCCAATCCCCTCGATAATGTTGTCGAACATGTTATTGAGTGGATTAACGGGGGAATGCACTGGAGCTCATGGATATTTGACCGAGATTCTGTCCGGCATCGTCTTCTCAAGTTCGATCATAGCATTCTGATCAAGCAGCTGCTCTCTCTTCTTCACGGGAATTCTGACCATTCCGCGTATATGGCAGTATTGAATGGTCTGCTGGCTTTGGCTTCACCAGTACGTTTTGTCCTGCAAACTAAATATGCTACACGGATGAAGGCCCGAGAGAGCATGTGCGTCCGGGCAAGGCAATACCCCTCTGCCGCACTTCTCGGCCTTGTGGCCTCATCGGATCGGGCGCAGTTCCTGTAAACAGGATTTGAATGTCCTACGTGGGGACGTTCAAATCGTGAGTTATTTATCAATTCTTCGTGGGTCTCTGAAGGAAAGAGGAGTGCATTCATGTTGTTGCGCCCGTTTCTCTCCGCGAATAGTGAAGACGATGGAGAAGACCGCGTTGTGTTTTTTGTGGCCCCTCACACCTGCCGTTCCGGATACTCGTTTTTCGGACTGATTGCGCATGACTGTGCTTATGTTTCCAGAGCATATTGAAGTCGGTGAGATTATGCTTGTAAAGAGGTGACAGACTTCTCAACCTCAGCACGTCGAGTGTTGGTGGCTGTGAGATGCCATGAAGACCTTTCGAGAAAGTCAATCACGCTGTAAATGGCTGCGCCCCGCTTTGAGAGTCCCAGCAAATATTTCAAGCATGGCAAAAGCCATCACCAGGGCTTCGTCAAGGGTGTTACCGATGAGAGAGTCCTAGAGGAGGGAATCACCACTTGGGTATTCATACCCTTCCGCAGCCCATGACTCTCTGAGCTCGTTATCAAGCATTTCCTCCATATCCAGGCTTCTCATCATCCGCCCGTCATACGGATCAAAGAACCACAGGTTCTCTAGTGCACAAGGCCAGCTGTGCTCTTCGGTTGCCCCGTGCCATGCCCCCAGGCCGTCTTCGCAAACCACATGGATCTCCTCTGTGCTAGTCCAGTCACGAAGCTCTTTCGATTCCCAGTGATAAAAGTATTCCTCAGAGTTTTTGCGTTCGAATCTGAGCCTCTTGATGAATGCTGAGACGGGGACGAAAGATTCAAAGCTAGTTGTCCCGATAGAAATCATGTCGATGTCCAAATTTAGCCATACATAGCGCGATATGTCGTCCATGGTGTCGCTCGATTCCGTTATTGTGAGTTCAGAGAATGCCTGTTTGTAAAGCCCCAGGCTGCGAGCTTCGTGACAGGTCTGTAATATCGCTGGAACCAGCGTAGAGGAGACCAATCGCTGAAGTTTCCCGGGGCCGTAAACAATGCGGACCTCGACCGTACGCGGTTCGACCGTCAAGGCCCAGATATGCGCACGCAGCTCAAATGGCAGGCGCGAAAATGAATGCAAGGTTGACATATCGTTGAAACTTGTAGAAAGAGAAGATTTACAGACTCGAAGATGCTGTTATCGCTGCCTGCGACTTTGCGAATCAAGATGAAGCCAACTCGTCTCAAGCTTTGAGGCAGTGAGTATCCCCACAATCTTGTACCGAGATTTGGCTATTGATATAGGTGTGCGATATCCTAGATCTCGTCGACGCGCTTGACTTACGCGACCAAATGATAAATGAATCGCCTGCCTGAGGTAATATGATTGAAATCAAGGAACGTCGTGTTGTGGGGGTCAGTTTCACGAGGTGAAGAGTTTAAGTAAACTCTTAACCAAGATGCGGCGTGTATCTTGGCAGAGGGGAGGGCACTATACCTTAATTGGCCTTCCAGTGTAAATCCAACCCCCAAGTCCCAGTGCAATTTTGGACGTGAACTTTGACCTTGAAAATACATATATGTATATTGCCGTGAGAAAAAAAAATATAGATAACGTAATGGGCGCCGGTATATTGAAGAAGAAAGTGAAGCCTGCCGCGGGAACCGACTGAAAATGACACGGCAGCCGACTTAATAGCAGTCTGCAGCAAGCTGTTGGATGTCGAGGTAATGTGTTAATCTAGGAATGGCGACTAGTTTGACCGGGGGATATAATATAACCTTTTCTATCATCTTCAAGCGCCATCGAATATGGCCTATCGTCATTGTGATAAATGCACACACTTTTTGGTGAATAGAAAAGCTGGCAGACGCGCCATGTGTGCAGTTTCGACAATAAGCACTCTTCACGACATAGGTCTGAGCCATGCTGTCCTCGGAGGCAAAAATCTTGGAATGATCCTTAGCGAGCAAGGCTATCGGACACATGGCGCAGTTTCAACTCAAATCATGATAATCAAAAACAGACCTGCACGCGCCTCCCACATCTCTGATACCGAACGACCAATCTCGTACAGTCGCAAGCAGTCACAATCAGCAGTGGCATACTCTGAACAAGGAGAGAGTACACTGTTCATTGCGGAAATTGCGAGCACCGATGCACGTGAAGCTATGTGCGAATTACCGAACCTAAATCCCAACACGACCGATAATGCGAGTCTATATATGGAAAACAGAAAAAACATTGGGGAAAGGGGGAAAAAACTATTTTTATATCCAAACTCTACAGTACGCTAGCTGAGCTGGAGACAAGACATGACTTCTAGCCGGGTACATACGGATACGGCGTGCTGACGAGAATTGCGCCTCGGACAAGTGACTCACGCCGTAATTAAGCCGCTATCCTCTGTCCCACATTACTGCGCCGTGACCGATCACGCCGGAATACATCCAGCGCCGGGTCCCACTTTGCGGTCTGCCCGTGGACGGCATACTATGATCTTCGTATATATGTAGCAGAAGACTTGCATCAAAGTTCTGCAGTTTATCTCGCATTTATCAATCCTGAGGGAGAAACAGGTCATTTCCAATCAACAGTTCGTACCACAACTCGCGAAACAATTGCAGCAATGGCGCAGATACATGGGATTTGCACGTCCAAATTCCAAAAGGTACGGGACCTATTTCAACAATTTCTCGACTCTGGTGAAGAGGTCGGCGCCTCCATCACGGTCAATGTTGATGGCGAGGATGTCATCAACCTATGGGGCGGCTTCGTCAACGCAGAACGCACCCAGCCCTGGAACGAGGACACCATTGTGCCTGTGGCCTCGAGCACCAAGATGATCCCAGCCCTGGCCGTCCTCATGCTAGCCGACAGCGGTGCTATATCGGTTTACGACAAGGTGTCCAAACACTGGCCCGAGTTCGCGGCGAATGGCAAGGAGGATATCGAGATCCGCCACTGTCTTTCGCACACATCTGGCGTTGCCGGGTGGGATGAGAAGTTGACCATGGACGACATTTGTGACGTGGCCAGCTCGGCCGCGAAACTAGCCGGCCAAGCTCCGTGGTGGACTCCCGGAACGGCTTCGGCCTACCATGGCTGGAACTTCGGCCATCTGCTTAGTGAGATCGTGTATCGTGTGACGGGCATGTACCTCAAAGAGTTTATCGCAAAAAACATTACTGGTCCCCTAGGCGCGGACTTTCAAATCGGGCTCAAGGAGGAAGACGAGGCGCGCCTGTCCGAATTCATCCCGACTCCTCCATCAGCGCCGCCTCGAGATCTCGGACCACTGTTCATCAAAGTGCTTGGAAACCCATCCATGGCTCCGGCAATGGGTAGGACCAAGGCGTGGAGGAATGGAGAGATTGGTGCATCCAATGGATATGGCAACGCCCGCGCTCTAAACACAATGTTGTCTCATGTCACACTAGCAGGACTCGACAGTGTCAAGGCCGACGCAAGACTGCTGTCTGCTTCAACGGTCAATTTGATCTTTGAGGAACAGTCTTATGGCAAGGATCTCGCAGTCGGTAAGACCATCCGCTTTGGTATTGGTTACGCTCTACGGGGAGACGGAGACACTTGGGTAGACGATTGGTTGCCGGCTGGCCGAGTGGCTTACTGGGGAGGATCCGGAGGCTCCCTTGGCATCATGGACGTTGATCGACGGGTTACTATAACCTATGCCATGAACCAGAAGTCAAATGACATGATTGGAAATACTGCGTCCAGGGCTTATATAAAGGCTATCTACGAGGCTCTGGGAGTTGAGATGGAGTAAAGCTGCTGCAGGAACGAACAAAGATATCGACCATCATTCGCAAGCGTCATTCAAATTTTGTCATTATTCCTTTCAAATAAGAAGTAAAGAAGATGCGAGGAAAAGTTACAGGTGTACACCATGACTCAGCACTTGGCACCGCGCAGGCTGCATTGCAAACTCGTAACACCACATGACTAAGCGTAAGATCGTCAAGAGTTGAAGATTAAAAATATCTGATCTCTATTTTCTCGACATTTTGTATGAAAACTAACCGTATACCAAATGCCGACTGCCTTTCCCGCCAATCCTGTCTTGGAAATCCTGCAGAGAACCAGCCAACCCCCCCCTACAGAACCCCTGCCCCATGGCCAAGCCAATCGTGCAGCACGGCGGCAGACCAGGCGATTGATCACCAACATTGACGAATCACAACTTGGCGTCAATATCCCAATATGGTTTTCTGGTCATTTTACTGAGTAAAGAATTTTTAAACCATTTGCAACCAGGAAAAAAATGATCCGACGGTTGGGGGGCCACGTTTTCTTCCCCCGGCCCCCAACCTTGGGTATACGCTGAAACCGAATGAAGCCATCATGAGCCCATTTTCGCCCTGTCCGAAACGAGCGACGTGAAACTCCTCCTGCCCAGCCAAAATAACCTCGCCGCAGCCTCCCATTCGATTTCTGGGCAAACAATCAGCCCACGCATGAGCCCAGGCCCGCATCAGAATTACCAAGAGCTTGGCTATAATGTACCACGTTCGCGACCGATTCAATGAGGGCACATGCGAAACGTCGAGGAGATGAAAGGAAACCCCCCTGGGATTGCGTAGCCTCGGAGCGTATTTGAAGCAGTTCTCTTGATGTCGAATTTGGCGGCGAACCATGGCCGCGCGCTTGGATCGCTTGTAATGGTTTCTGCGTGTTGGCATACTTAACCGTCTGCCGATCCCGCTCTTGTCGGTAAAAAATACCTCGACAATTTTATTCGAGGATCTGCCTGTTACTGTGATACAAGTCTAGAGTATATTCCAACATCGAACGCCAAGACGCTACAATGCCGGTCCTCGACCCAGAGCTCATTGGCCGCGGCCTGAATGAGATCACTCATCAACTCGCTCGCAGAGACGTGGATCATCGGGTGTTGGAGACGCTCGCAGTTGGTATGTTTGATCTCGTAACTCGTACCACGCATTTCTTGGTTCTATCAATCGAGGCTGACATGAATCTAGCGGCAACATGCATCTTTGGCGTTGGAGGATATATTTACTGGGCAATGAAGCAAAAATGATCATTTACACGACGCTATGCTCAAAAACATCACATATAACTTCTTCGGCGAATCGCAGCGCAAGCCGTCGGCTGCCCCGACTACCACGAGCAACTCAACCACGCCGCGTCGCAATGCTGGCGACAACGAGTTCACTCGACCAGCCGCCTGACTTGAACCGTAACGGTACGCGCTACGGAATGACTTCGCAGGACGAGGCCACCATATTGCATCAATGGAATACCATGGATAGCGTCATGTACAAACTCGTCAAGGCGTCTTGGTCGACACGCGATGGAATAACACGAGGCATCGAGTATGCATTCAGCCTGAGGGCACTTACTCAAGGTCCCGAGCAATACATTGCACGCCAGTTTTCGTCAATGGCATGGGGAAAGGGCGGCTATGCCATCCAATGCCTACCTCAGGTCCTTGACCTCTGTTGATAGATAGGCGTGTGTACAAGCTGGATGGAAAAGAAAATCCACGGCATAGTCGCTGCATCATACAGAGACTACAAAAACAGTTTCAAAACAAGAAATAGGATATATTCATCAACCAATAAACCCGACCCCATGTGATCAGTTCGTAATAATTCAAAGCCCTCCTTTGAGCCAGTGTGGTATCAGATCATAGCACAAGCAGCAAGCATGGCCGCCCAAATAGTAGTCATTCACTCATTACTCCTTCATTATGTTCGTTCATGAACTTGTGCCGACCGTCGTCGTGGCCCCTCCGGCGGGCCGCTGGGCAGCACCCCGGCGGATGTAGTCCTTGTTCTCGATGGTGACACTCTTGGTCATGTGGTTGACCTTGTATACACCCACGAGGCGAGCTGCGAGCTCGAACATGTTGTTTCGGAGCGAAATGACAATGAACTGCGCATTCTTGGTCCGCTCCTTGATGTAGTTGGCCACAATAGATACCTGTGATTGACAAATTAGCAACAGATCGTCATGGCATCTCATTGAGCAACTTACGTTTCTGAAATCCAGCGCAGCATCAATCTCGTCCATGACATACAACGGGGTGGGCTTATAGTGATGCAGAGCAAAGACTAATGCCAAACTCGACAGTGTTTTCTCACCACCCGAGAGGTTCGAAATGTTCTTCCAACTCTTCTTGGGCGGCATGACACTGAACAAGATACCCTCGCTGAAGGGATCCAAGCTGTCCACCAATTCAAGCTCAGCATTACCACCCATGGTGATCATCTGGTACATCTCCTTGAGCCTCAAAGAGATGGTGCTGAAACCTTCCATGAATCCTTCGAGACGCAAGCGGCGTAGTTCATCGCACCGCTTCTTGGCAGCATCGCGGGTAGTAACTGCGGTGCTAAGGTCCGAAGACCGGGCCGCATGCTCCTCCACACGGCGGCGGTACTCTGCAAGGACGGCGACATCGACGTTGACGTTCTGGGTCTTCTCCTCAAGCGCGGCAATCTCGGCCTTGAGCTTCTCCTTTGACATGTCCTTTAACTCGTCGGCGGTGTACGTTGGCAGCTCATTAGGCTGGTGAATCACCGTCGTATCCCCTTCTTCTTCCTCTTCCAGCTTGGAAGCCTCTTCGGCCTCCTGCTCAAGTTGGCCCGTGGGAGAGTCAGGTGTGCCATCACTGTCCTGGGTCTCCTTGGGAGGTGAAGGTGTCTTCGGAGGGGATACGCCCTCAAGATCGCTGACATTTTGAAGGGCCAGCTTGCCAAGCTTTTCATCCCAGTACCGTAATCTCTTCTGGTTCTCTGCAAGTGCCTTTTGGTTTTCTTCGAGCTTGTTCTTCATCTCGATTTCAACAGCGCGTGTTTCATTGAGCTCAGATGTTTTCTCGTCGAGCTCTGCCTTGACTCCAGCAAGCTCCTCTTTCTTGGCAGAAAGTGCCTCAGCGGCTTCATCAACACTGGCTTGCAGTGATTCAGACTTCTCGCTCTGGTTCTCAACCTCTGCCTCGAGCTTTTCCAGATCGCGCACAGCAGAGGTAAGCTCCTTGGTAGCCTTGGCATGGTCCTTCTCCAGCTTAGTCTTGGACTTCTCGGCCTTGACACGCTTGACTTCGGCAGCCGAGACCGCTTCGTTGTAAGAAGCAATCTCCTCCTTGATGGAATCGACCTTGGCACGCTGGGCACGGAGTTTCTCACCACCAACCTCCATGATCTTGTCCTGCAGTTCCTTGATCTCAGCTTCAATATCCTCGGTCTCAGCACGAAGCTTCTCAACCTCCTTGTTAAGCTTGGCAATCTCCTTCTGCAAAGCAGCCGATCTGTTGTCGTCAGCCGCAGAGGGTTGGTGTTCCTTTCCAAGCTCCTTGATACGCCTTTGAGCGTCGACCAAGTTCTTCTCGGCGCTAGAAATCTCAAGATTGATCTTCTGCATCTTGGTCTCGAGCTGTGGAATCTGCTCCTTCAGTTGTCGCAAGCGATTCTCAAGTTCTCGCTGCTGGTCTTGGAACTTTTGGTATTTCTGTTCAAGAACATCACGACTCTCCTCAAGCTCCGTGACATGTTCCCTAGAGATGTCGGCAACGAGCTTGCTGGACATGAGACCTTTCTTGACAGTTGTACCACCACCGGACATGGTACCGCTCTTGTCAATGAGCTCACCAGCCAAGGTGACAACACGCCATCTCTTGGCACCATAGGCAATTCTGTTTGCCTGGGCAAGATCTTGAGCAACGAGGGTGTCCTGTAGTGCATGGTAGAAGGCCGGCCGGAACTTGTCGTCCTTGGCCTTGACCAGGTCAAACAGTCTGGGAGCGTCCTCGGGTGTCTGAATGGGATCCATGCCACGAACACGCAGCTTGTCCAGACACATGAAGTTTCCACGACCAAGGTTTGTCTTGCGGAGATATTCTATGCATTGCTGACCAGCTTCAACAGTATCCGTGACAAAGTTATCAAGCGCGCCGCACGCAGTAGAAATGGCAACATCGTACTTCTTATCAATAGCACCGAGATTTCCAAGACGTCCATGGAAACCATCAATACGACCAGTTTCTCTCATTCTCATGAGAGCTGTGAGGACGTTACCACGGTTTTGGGTTTGGGCAAGACTCGAGCGAGCCTCGTCAGCCTTTTGCCTTGCGTTGGAGACCTTGTTTCGAATGATGTGTTCCTTGGCGGCGAATTGTTCAAGGCCAGCTTCGACAGTCTTTGCTTCCTCGTCGAGTTCGGCCTTCTCAGCTTGGCATTCTTCCAGCTCAGCAAGCTTGGAGGCTCTGCCCTTTTCAATGCTGGCAATCTTGTTCTTCATCTCCTCGAGTGCAACCGAGCCAGCATTGGCCTTCTCTTCGAGAATGGCGAGTTCCGATTCTGCAACAGCAATGGCAGACTGCTTTTGGTTGATCTTCTCCTTCCAGGGCTCGAGGGACTTCTGTTTGGCGGCAATCTGGTCAGAAAAGACCTGGGTCTTGCCTTTCAAGTTCTCGCGAATAGTGGCAAGTTCGGCCTCCTCTTCCTGGATGCTTTGTTCAAGAGCTGCGATTTCTTCAGTTGAGGTCTTAATTTCCTCGCTGCATTGCTCAATAGTCTCATCAGCATCTGTGGAGGATTTCTCAGCATTTGCAATGGTCTTTTCGAGCTTCTTTCGCTTGTCTGTCAGGAATTTGCGCTTCTCGTCGAACTTGACCCTTTCTTGCTCGAACTTGGCAACTTCTTTGGCGAGGGCTTGGTGTTCTTTTTCCTGGGCCTCGTACTCCTTGCTGCCCTTGGCATAGTCTTTTTGAAGCTGCTTGATCACCTGCTCGCTACCCTGGTGCTTCTCTAACTCGGCGTTGAGTTGCTCTTGCATTTGATTGATTGCATCTTCAGTGATTTCCAAGTTGTCTTGACACTCGCTGATATAAAGCTGATACAGTGCCGACTGCTTGAGTGTCAACTCGTTTTCGTCGCGGATAAATGCGAGAGCCTTGTTCTTTTTGTCTTCCAGGCTATTCTTTTCTTTCTCAACATGCTGCACACGTCCACTCTTCTCCATACAGACTTCATTTAAAGTCTCTACTTCTTGAGCTGACTCCTCAATGGGGGCTTTGTACTTGGAGGTACCAATAATGTCTTCTAGATATTCGAGTAGACCATCGTCATGCTCATTGGCAGCCTTTGGCTTCATCTGAGCAATCGATTCGACTTCACCTTGGAGAATCAAGAATCGTTTGTGGTCCAGGTCTACGCCTCGGTCTCTGAGAAGGGTCGTAACAATAGTGAAGTTGGACTCTTTGCCGTCAATGTAGTACTTGCTCGAGTTGTTCTTGAAAGCACGTCGGGAAATAACAATCTGGGAGTTTGGAATGACTTCGGAACCACCGCCAGGCTGCTTGCAGTTAGTACCGTCAGATGCACAGAATAGAGCGGAAAACCTACCTGGTCCATGACTTCCTGGAAGTGCACGGCAACTTCACAATGGTCCAAGTTGGGGTATGCAGCCGAATTGTGGATAAGCGCGGAAATCTTGCCTTGTCGCATTTTGCTGGCACGGAAACCAAAGACAAAAAGTAACGAATCAATGACATTGGACTTGCCCGAACCATTGGGTCCCACAACTGAGGAAAAGGAAGCATGGAAAGGTCCAACTTCCTGTCGCCCAGCATAACTCTTGAAGTTGTTCAAAATGAGGTATGTGATGACTATGCGAGGCTTCGGGCCCTTGTCTTCCTCGGGGACCGGGACAGCCATCTGCGCCCGAGACTTCAATACGATATCCATGGGCTTCTCAAAGACGGCATCCATCGCCTTGATGGGCTTGATTGTGACATTCTCGTCACCAGAAGGCTGGGAATCGGCGATGCTCTTGTTGGTAATATCAGCAAGTGGCGTTCCTCGGCCTGGAGACTTTGGTTCGGGTGTAGCGGCTGGCTTTGGTGTGGCCAACAAATCTTCCGATGCCTGTGATTGAGCACTTGGGGATGGCTCCTTGTCCTTGCGTGGCGCGACGCTCTTCCTTGTCCTCCGGACTGCAGGCTTCTTCACCGCCGATTCATACTGCTTGATGATCGGCGTAGCGGTAGCATCTGGGTCCATCACCTCACTTGCCTCTGAAGGGGCGACGCTCCTACGAGGTCGACCTGGACGCGGTGTTGATGCAGTGATATCCGCATCGTTGACCTCGCTCGCTTCAGACGGCGCCACGCTCTTCCTGACTCTTCTTCGGACTGCAGGTTTCTTCATCGCGGACTCGGACTCTTTGATGGCAGGCGTAGCGGTCACGTCAGGATCCATCACCTCACTCGTTTCCGAGGGCGCAACGCTTTTGCGTGGACGACCTGGACGAGGCGTTGAGGCAGTCACATCGGGATCCATTACCTCGCTCGCTTCGGATGGCGCAACACTCTTGCGCGGCCGGCCTGGGCGGGGTGTCGATGTTGCTGCTGATGTGGCTGTCTTCCTTCTGCCTCTGGTCGCTCGGGGTTTCGGAGCCTCCTCTGGCTCCAGTGTGAACTCATCTTCGCTTTCTTCTTGGCGCTTGATGGGTGTGGCGCTGGCGATCTCATCTTCGTCTTCTGACTCGATAATGGCTGCGCGCCTCGTCGCAGCGGCACGGCGGGTGGGTCGGCCAGACATGGCGTAAAAGAAATAACGACGTAAATCGCCGAATTGATGGAATTTATCGTCTCAGTTTGCTGCAATGTTAGTATCTGGCACAAGTCGTGGTTGATGTCGTTATTGTGCCATGTGTTTTGGTATTTGCGTTGTGGTTGCTCATAGGCTTTGATGCCTCAAAAGTAAATAAACAATTCCCCCACCTTCAAACCTGCGACCCCCTTGTTTAGCGCGTCAATGGCAACTGCTGTCAGATTTCCGCCTAAACACGCTAGTCTCAGGCACTTGAAGTCTGCGAATCCGAAGAATCCCCGGCGCAAGCCAGTGCAATTGGGCCTGAAAGCTATCGGAGCTCTCATCAAAGGTCAAAACAGCTTGAAGTCAATGATACGGAGCAAAGAATAATTTTTGTTTTTGCTGTCCACCACCAAAAACGCCCGACAATATCTCGGCCGGTCTGCACAGCAACCATGATTGACTTTGGCAACTTTGACCGTGTCTTTGGTCCACTGAACCCGTTTCCGTACGATCGGACCTTTATTCAGGAAGCAGAAGGCTTCCGCCGCAGCTTCGAAGGTGCTCTATTCATTGACAAGATCCTGGCGGCATTGGGCCTTGCCAAAGGTAGGCGTAAAATAACACCGAAACCACAGTCGACCCGACGCGTTTGGCATGCTGACGAGATCCTTCTAGTCCGTGGTCTCTATCCCCCGAAGTCTGAAGCGACCCTCCACCAACTGCACGAGAAGGTCACCGCCTCGACAACCATTGCGACGCACCACAAGCTTTCTATATTGTACTACCTTCTCCTGGACATTGACGAGTTTCTCAAGTCTCAGCCAGGTCACATCGATGGGAACAAGGCAGACCAATTTGCTAATCGCTCGGGTCTTCCCACCAAGTACCAACTGTTGATTAAGGGATTGTGGCACTTCGACCGCCAAAAGTTTGACGTCGGTTTGGAATACTTGACACACCCAAGCTTGACCCCCGAATTTGCCGATGATATTATTACGGTACTCGCGAGACAAGCCACCAAGGACGGAGACTATACGTTGCCTCTGGCATATTGGCACACTGTCCAGCCAGTACTCAAGACCGAAACAGCTGTCCAGTTGCTGTTCGACGCCCTGATCCAGAGTGACATTGGCGAGGCACTGCGCTTCTCAAGAGCGAAGCCAGAAGCACAAAGGCAGGGCCTCTTTAAGAGACTGGTGATTGGTGTACTCGACAGCGAGCGTGGTGATGAAGCAGCAGATCGTGCTGGCGAGCTTGCAAGTCTACCATTCGATGAGAATGAGGATGAGTGGTTCCGGGAATACCTTGCCAGCGGCGAGGGCAAGAGGTTGAAGATCGCTAGAGATACCCTTCTTATGCGCCGCATCGCTCTCGGTGAGCCGGTTTCGACAACTGGTGAGAAAGGTACATGGGGCGTTGTCATGGAGGCCTTCAAGGTGGGCAGTGGAGGTCGAACGTGAGGTACGGATCCCACGGGTCGGACTACCAAGAAAACAGACATGAATGTTCAGTCGTGTTAGAAGTGCATAGCGTTGGCGTTTGGGTGATAATTTACTATTGCAGGGCGTTTAGACTCGGAAAAGGGAGACACGTTTGTTGGACAGAAACAATTTGTTCCTTGGGACTTGCGAATCGCAATATTGTGTTGGACTCTGCTTAGACGTACTACATACGAACAGTGACTGATGTTCCTAACTTCACGCTAGGAAACCATTCTGTGTAGCTCGAAGGTGGTTAGCTCAGTATAGGTTTGCATTGGTATACTCTGTAGATCGATATTGATTGTTATGTCTTCTCGTACACCTATGCGGTCTCTCAAATAGAACACAAAATAGAGTCTAATTTGATGGCACTCTTTTCCTTTCTCCCAGGGGGTGCATCGAAGCGCAGGGCGTAACTGTGCATTTAAGTTATTCAAAAAGAAAATTAAACATGCGATAAACAATAAAAAGATTGGTTTTGTTGGGGGGGAAAAAAACAAGTTGTCTCCGACACGGGGAATCGAACCCCGGGCATGACGGATCAAGATGAGAGCGTCATATGTTAGCCACTACACCATATCGGATGTTATTTATTGAAAGTTTTGTGCTTCAATATTATCATGTAAGCTAGTCCTTTTCCCATCCGATGACCCGCTTTCGACTGGTTTATTTCAATTTCAAATCCCAAAGTCTGAACCCTGAGTCCAAAGGTATTTCTTCTCTATTGAACCATTAACAGCCATGCATAGCTATACATCCATCCTAAATATGCTTTGGATAATAGAGTTCTATTCTTTTAAGATGGCATTTGTTACAGTGTTTAAGCTGAGTACTACCTACCTAGGTATATGTGTTGGTCAATCTTGCTGGCACAAGACAATCAAATTGTGGTCAGGTTGCACAAAAGTCTTGAGTCTTACGAATTCATACAGCGGTATTCGGACATGGACAAGCTTTTCCGATGTTTTTTTAGTGTTCGATTATACATTTGGACACGATTACCATGGCGACTGATGTGATCGATGCCAAAAACTGCGTAATGCGAATGTACAACTTCGTGGGGAGTCCGGGCCATCCCACATGAATGTCAACGCGGGGTCATGGGGGTTGTATAAATGTGCATTCGCGAGTGGCACACCCATCTGGTACCAGGAATGATCTCTAGAACTTTTACATAATGGATAATGCTTGAAAGCCTGTTCTGGACATATATAATCCTTCATCACCTCACAATTGCAAGAGTACAGTGGAGGCAGTCATCTAGCCGGCTACTCTCCAGTGTCCACTTCAAGCAGAAATGTCTACTCAGTACAATGCAATCCGAGCACCTTACGATGAGCTCAGAAAAGGGTACCTATCCATCATTGAGCGAGAGAATGTACGCGAAGCTGTGGCTCCGTACATCAAGGGGGCGAAAGTACTCGAACTCGCATGCGGGTCAGGCTTTTATACTACATACCTTGTAGAATGGGGGGCCAGCAGAGTGCTGGCAGCCGATATTTCCAGCGTCATGCTGGAAGAAGCGCAGCGGGCAGTTGACAGCGCGGGATTTGGGCCTAAAGTGACTCTTCTAGAAGCCGATTGTGGGAAGCCCGAGGAATATGCCGGTGGACCGTTCCAAGTTGTGGTCGGTGGCTGGATCCTCAACTATGCAGCAAACATCGAAGCCTTGACTCAGACGTTTCGCAACATTGCCATCAATCTCGAAGAGGGGGGCGTCTTCATCGGCGTCACGCCGCCGCCGACCAATGACCCTGTCGCCTTTTATGAAGCTGAGAACCGTGTCCGGCCCGCTCCCCGGGGCTCGGGGCTACTTGTGAGCCATTCTACTGGCACAGTGGAAGACGGAGTCACGGTTCATAGGCATGCCGATACGTCTGCCGGCGTCGTCGATTTTGATACATACCACTTGCGGCGGGATACATATGAAAGGGCCGCCAGAGCTGCAGGTCTCCAAGGAAAGTTTGAGTGGAGCACCACGAAAGTGCCTGTTGATTTCTTGGAAAACCCCGCTGGCGGCGCCAGTAGAGAAGAGCTTGAAACTTATGGCACGGTTCCGCACTACGGTATTCTGGTGATATCGAAAGATTGAGTTGCTTGAGGTTCTCGGAATAGGCCTTATACTCTGAGTCTCTGATTTATTGGCTCATGAACTCATCCGTAATGGGAATAATTTTCGAAAAGGCGATCACTTGTGGCTGTCATGGAATCTTTAGTTCTAACAGACAGTGAGCAAGAACCTGGTCGGCATGGCAGACCGGATTCACATCTCTGTCCATGTAACGGATGCGCGTAGCCATGGCGAAATTTACATACACCAAACATAGAATTATGCCCCCTTTCTGTGATCATCTTTGAGCCAATGGGTCAATGGACGCACAGCGACACATACACGAGGGAGCCGTGACCTAGAGGCCATGCTCATCTCGAAAGCAGGTTGAAATGTAGATTGGCAAGCACAATTTTCTGATACGTAGTGGAATGATTCCTTCTATGTTATCTTGGTTCGCTTACCTAAAGCACAAACACAAGGTAACATGGCTGGATCTTTCGTTTTGTATAAATTTGCCAAGACCTTGAAATAAAGTATTTGAGCCGCGGCAGGCCCCATTTTGGAGCCTCTGGGGCCAAATTCCACCAATGTGCGCTGGGGCCGCCGACCTGAGTTTCCAGGTCGCTTGTCCGGATCGAGCCGAATTCAACTCCATCCGCCCCTTATTGGCCACTCGTGGCACTTTAACCCAGCAAGCCGGGGACAAGACCCTTGATCGCGCTCCTTCAAGCAGTGACTTTCATTAGAAGAGTCTTCCTGCAACATGCGCCGAGCACAATCATCTGTTGCCGCCATCTATCTGAAAGCCGAGATGGCGCTAAGAGGCAATGCCCCTTCATTCTCCTGTACCTGGAAATCGAGATGACGATTATAGGCAGGCTGCGGGAGGAGATGCTCTGTGATATAAATCGTCTAGGTTTGCTGTTGAAATGCTGCTTCCTAGTTTCCACATACATTCTACTTTGCATTGTCCAATCTTGTCTCTAGTAGGCATATCATTCTGTCGCCGGGCGACTTTCCCTTCGTTTTATTTCTTGAAATTTGTATTCAATCACTTTCTTTTTTCAAAATGAAGTCTGTCATCTCTGCAGCAATTTTGGCCTACGCCGCCGGAAATGTCGCCGCCCACGCGACTTTCCAGGACCTCTGGGTTGATGGTGTTGATCAGGGAACAACCTGTGCTCGTATCCCTCTGAGCAATTCGCCCGTGACCGACGTTACCTCGGACGACATTGTTTGTAACGCTGGTACTTCTGCAGTCACGTCCAACTGCGACGTGACTGCTGGATCTACTGTCACTGTTGAGATGCACCAACAGCCCAATGATCGATCGTGCTCAAATGAAGCCATCGGCGGAGCGCACTACGGTCCCGTCCTCGTTTACATGAGTGCTGTTTCGGATGCCACGAGCGCTGATGGCTCCGATGGCTGGTTCAAGATTTTCGAGGACACTTGGGCCTCTGCTGGTTCATCTGGCAGCGACGACAACTGGGGTACCAAGGATCTCAACAATTGCTGCGGCAAGATGGATGTCAAAATTCCCTCTGACCTTGCCCCTGGTGACTATCTCCTCAGGTATGAGCAAAGTCCTTCGAAAACATAAGCAGACAAGTCGCTCTACTGTTTGCTAACCAATACTACTAGAGCTGAGGCTATTGCCCTGCACTCTGCTGGCTCTTCTGGTGGTGCGCAGTTCTACATGACATGCTACCAACTTACCGTCAGTGGTAGCGGCGCTGCTTCCATCTCGGACACTGTGCTCTTCGTAAGTTTTATATCCAAACTTTTGTGTTGCTTGATCATGCTTGCTTTCAGCCCATGTCTCCAAAATCCTTTCAATCATCACTCAAATAGGGGGCTCCAAGCGATTCATTCCCCAATATTTCCTTGATAAATATCCAAATACAATGACTGACCCGAAAACCTACAGCCTGGTGCTTACGATGCCTCTGACCCCGGTATCCTGATCAACATCTACCAGTCGATGAGCACCTATGGGGCTCCTGGTCCCACTGTCTACTCTGGCGGCTCTACCCAGAGCGCGGGTGCAACCTGTGCTGCCAGTGCTACTGGTGCAGCTGCGACCACCTTGGCCTCTGCCTCGGCTACCACAGCTGTCACCACTGCTACCACCTCGTCCACAGTCTCCTCTCAAGTACAGGCCGTGACGTCGGCTTCCGTCGCCAGCTCTTCCTCCCAAGCAGCCGCAGCTACGAGCGCTGCCAGCACTACATTGACCACTGCCGCGTCTTCGGCCACCAGCGCCACCGAGGCCGCGTCCTCGGCCGTCACCTCGACCGTAAGCTCTGCCAAGGCAACTTCGACCGCTGGCTCTACCTGCAAGCGCCGACGCAGACGCGCGAACAAGAACCGTCGCTCTTAGAGGGTTGGTGATACAACGGATGGAAGGTCGATGAAGAGCTTAGCTTCAATGTATATATTTGCACAGACCATGTGAATAGACTTGTTATCATAAAAGTTTAGATTTGTACCGCGCCCAGAAAAAAAGCAATTTTTATATCATAGAGGGGCACTGGCTTGACTGGTTGTCGCCTTTCTCGATTGAGCTAACAAAGCTCCAAACTACACGGATGTGTTCCTTTTTAAGTGCCTGGTTGTGTATTGGTGGCCTCTTTGTAGGCGGTAGGCACCGGAGTTGCCTTTTCAGTTTATGCTTCGATGAAACAAGCGGCGCCATGTAATTTGTTTTTCTTGGACCTGCCGTTGAAAACCTCCAATAATCTCTTGCCTCGTACGAGGTATCACGATTCCGATCCAATGGACGGGTTTTCATGTATTGCCGAACGGTCAATTTGTACATCGTGTGACAAAATTCGAGACATGCATCTAGCTGAATTCCGGCGAGGCGTACCACTACTTACCGAAATGTGGCAGGTCAATGTGTATAAGTATATGAGCCCAATGGAGCCATTGTGCTGGCAACGCTCAGCTCGCCCCCTGATCTGACAGTCTGTACCTGCAGCCATGTCGCTTCTCGCAGTCGAGAGTGAAGCACCTCAAGTAAGCCCCATGGAAACCCAATCTGAGCTCCATGTTCCATCTCCAGTGGTTACCTCATATCAGATGAATCAATCTCAACACGACTGTCACCGACATAGCCATGCAGCCGATCAGCCCGGTCTTGAGGTATCCCAGCCAGATCTCGAAGTCTTCCGGCCAGCCCATGAACAGAATCCATCAGACGTCGATATAAATAAGTACTCGACGCCATATGGAGTACGCCAGTCAAGCCATAATAACTATGAGAACCAGGCATACTCTGCTGGACAAGGATCGGAAGCCCCCAATCTGCCGGATCCAGAGGAAAAGACAAAGTCACAGAAGAGACGAATATGTGGGCTGTCTGTACCGACACTTGTCTTCCTGATTATGCTCGCTCTCTTAGTGGTTGGCGCATCTATTGGAGGAGCTATAGGCGGCATCGCAGCTACACGGTGAGTGGCAGACCGCAAGAGCAAACTCGATCCTAATCTTGGCCTACAAGTCACTACGACGACAAAAGCAGAGACCAGAGTTCTGCAGCAACCTCCGAGGGTTCCGCGTCTGGAACTTCAGTATCAAGTCATACTACTAGTACTACCTCTTCACAAACCGCCCTGCCCACCTCCGTGAGTGTCGACTGCAACAGCGTGAGCGGAAGGCATCAAACGATACAGATGAACAAAGGGCTAGCATACACTTTCTCCGTGACGTGCGGTAACGACATGCTAAAGACATCGGGCGGCCCAGGGATCGATATCTTCGCGACCAAAGTCTATACACTTGATGATTGTCTCAGGGCATGTGCTACATACAATAACTATTCCGCCACGAATGGCTGCGTTGCCGTCAGTTTTAACACAGGTAGGTCTTCTCTCGAATTGTGGGGCAACGTGACGCTTTGGGATTTCATCAGGAATCTAACTTGGATGCCAGATATTGCTAGTTATGGTTCGGAATGGAATGGAAATTGCTTCGCGAAAAATTCTACTGGTAACACTTTAAAGGACTTAGGCCAAAGTTTCGTAGCGGCGGTCTTGGTCGGCTCCTCGTAGTCGCTATAGTTCAATATGTTTATATCGCACCGACGGTTAACACATAGATCATACAAGAAACACTGAACAGGAACATGTGACATTTCTTACGAGGGCTCTCATCATAGAAATTTTCACTTTGTAATGGGGCCATAAATTGTGGCAGTTGGATGAAGTCAAGTTCGGCAGCGGACTACAGTCTACATTTCGAAACCAACTTATACAAACAATGTACTACTATTATTGTTATCATGTCTCATGAATATATGATAGTCTATCAACCAAAAATCTCGACCTTGACAGTATTACTAGCAAGATCGCCCATGACGGCCTTGACAATGGTGCCAGAGCCGGAACCAACGTTTCCGCTGATGCTGGCCGAGTAGAGAGTATAGTTGCCAGCGGTACCGTACTCGGTCATGGCGACCGTCGACGTGGCAATCACCCTGGCGGCTGTACCGCTAATGGCCCCGGGAATGTAGAGAACCAGCTGCATTGCATCGTCCGTTACTGACGAGGTCAGTACTGCGGCCTTGACTGTGCCGCTGCGATTACTCGTTGTGCTCTTGGCTGGGAGGACAAAGATCTCGTCATTGATGTCGTAAGAGACATCGCCAAAGCTGAGAGATGTCGTGCCGGGGCTGTCGATGGTGCTATTAAAGGCATAGTAGCTCGTTGAGCCGAATAGAGACCCACCAGTACCCGAAGCTGTGGCGCTTGTGGCGGTGAAGTCACCACTCGATCCAGAGATGGTGTAAGTGACATCTGTAGGCGCTGAGCCAGAGCTGTAGAGGTTCCTGATGCGACCAGCGATGGAGACCGAGCCGGTTGAGTCAATGTCAGTGGCGAGCTCAATAGCCTTCCAGGCCATTGGGACGATCGGGTCTGTCAAGGTGGATCCGCTGGGGACAGTGTTGATCATGCGCTCGAATACGTCGAAGCAAGTAGATCGGAATGCCAATTCTTCCGAGAGATTCTGCATGGTGGCATTATTGTCCGAGGCGTACAGACGCAGATCAGACCGATCATCGACGCTGGGTGCTGTGACAAGCAGTCCTCCCAAGGACCCAGTGCCGTCCAGGCTATTCAATGGGTCAGCTATTGGTTTATTGAAAGTACATTCTCCAAACTCACTATTCGTTAACGACAGTAGCATCAAACGAAGCAGGAGTGCTATCGAATCCCACTCCACCATGGGTGCTTTAGACTGTTAGCATACATTCAGAAAGCTTTGGTCCCGAGTCTTGCGTGACTTACTTGTTGGATGTTACTGTGCTCTCATCAACGATATCGGGGAAGTTGGAATAATGAATGCGCCCAAGGGAGTGGCCACAGGCACTGAAGCAAGTCAGTTCGACGGAAGAGTATAGTAGGCTGCAGAAGTACTAACGTTGATGCAATAGCGTCCTCTTGGCTGAAGCCTGCAGCCTCAAATTGAGCTAGAGTGTCCTCCAAACTCGTAGTTGGCTCTGGCACTCCAGACGGTCCAGCTGCGAGGGCGTCTGTCCTGCCGGCTCTAAGGGGAATGCCTGTAGAGTTTCCACTACAAGTAGCAACAGCGGCCACAATACCCTTTACTTGTTCAGCGCGTTGTCAATGATTATTCATTGGAAAGTCACTGCTCACCAAAGCTATGTTGTCTGCCATGCTCACATAGGCCGTGATTGTCTGGCGATCATGTTAGAGAACGGAGTAAGTCACTGATCTCATGAAAAGGCTTACTGGCAACATCTGCAGCATGTTAGCATAGTTCACGCACGTAGACCTGAGGACTTACGAATTTCAGGGTGTCGTTGACAAAGAGGCCAGGATTCTCAGGACGATCGGCTTCGTAGGCAATGGAGCCATCTAGTCCTCTGCTTCGTATCAGTCTGTATGTCAAAGAGAAGAGTGCCTCATGATAGTTGCATACCCGGTGCCAGCGGAAACATCCGCCGTCACGAAATCGTGAAAGACCAATCTGACCCATTGAGCAGAAGACTGTTCTCCCTCGATTCCAGTTCTATCCTGGAAGTAGTTACTGCAGGGACTGACTGCGTTGATGAAGCCATCAAAGTTGGTCCCGCTGTTGTCAACGAGGAGGTGTTCCATCTCCTCGTATACATCACGAGCATCGATGCCATCAAGGATAGCCGAGCCCAAGCCCACAAAGAGCTGGGTGAGCGCAAGTGTAGAAGCGAATGTGTGCATTGTCTAGGCAAAACCTGGAGACTAATAACGAGAGTAGTTGATGATAACTTCAGGTTCCTCCTTCAAACTAACTCACATCATGAAATAGACAATATTTATATTTAACACATCCTGTGACCCTCATCGTGGAACGCGCGGCTATGGTTGTACGATACTCCAGTAAAAAGCAGTGTTTAACGCAGAAATAAACCATTGTCAGATATCGACCGGCTTCTTGGCCTTGTCCTGCAGGAACGCGTGGCCTTGAGCATATTAAAAGTCAAAGTCTGCAGTTGAAGCCAGCGGTATTTCCCTGATCGTGATGTTACCGTCGCATTTGAGTAGGGTAAAGCTACATGAGCGCATTCAATAGTAGATCTGCAATCCGGACCCGTGCCCAATGGCTTTCGCAGGGTCTAGCGTTTCAGTGCATATGTATCTGCCAGGGGAGCGGCTCCACGAGCTTGTATAGGACTATGATATTGTTGTTCTTGTTCCGCTCGTCTAAATTTATACAATGTCTTTTGAACTTGAGAGTCGCACGAGCCGCGTTGATCTGGCCCCGGGGTTTTTGGGGGGACCCTGGCGATCCGACGACCGAAATTGTCAGCGCAGTAATTTCGGTTGAGTCTTGATTGGAACCAGCTTTGTTCGCCGTGGGCCCACGATTGTTTCCGTGCATGGCGATCATACAATCCACCAATGGCGTCTGTCCAGTTACGTTCTGCGGACCGCGCAGTGGATAGCCGCGATGACCTTTCAGCGTGGAGCCGACAACCTGGAGTTGAAGGGTCAAAGCAGAGATCGTCATTCCTTCGCTGCTTACCGTTTCCTGTCGTGCCATAGTGCGCCTGCAGAGTGCGCGCTTCAGGTGCTGCTCCTGCTTGTCGGCACATCTGTACGCTGTCGATGCAGTGCTGGGAATCTCCAAGAAATATGCTCACGGAGGTACTGTTCGAGCCAAAGCGGTGCAGTCAAATCCCAGTACCTTGCATCTTCCAACCCCAGCCCGGGGTTCTCGGAGAAATCGTGAATGGTCAACGTACCCTGCGAGGTTGAGCTTATCTGTGGGAAATTCCGAGGCGATATTCCGGTTTGTCCGGGTTGAGCAAATTTTTTTGTTCTGTTTACCTTTTCTCGTCTTCGAGTCTCGATTCCATGTTCTGTACTTGTTGTTACCATCTATTTATTTTCATGGAGCACTCCGGATGTTTTTTTCATGCCGCTTAATGGTTCATTGGGCCTGTGCATGCCCGGTCCATATAGCGGAGGCTACCGGCATTCAAGGTTTTAAGAGTGGGCTTTCTATAAGCAACCCATCAATCGTATTACACAGTAAAAGTGAGTTGAAATTTAGAAATTATGCGTTGCTGATTGGATGTCTGTGCATGGTGGATAACTTGTGGGTGACCATCGTTGCAAGGATCCCGCTTTCTATTGAATAAACGGACAACACGGGTGGTAATACATGCGTTCTCATAGGACGCAGCTCAGAGTAACAATATGCAGAGAATAATTTATGACTGATGACTGCAGACGCCACTGCTTGCCCATGAGCCACACTCATATGCAGCACTTTATGCATACGATGTTCGTCCCTTGGTGCATATATTTGCTGGGAGACTCTGCAAACCGCAGTAGCGAGCCGCGACTCATCATCAGCGCTGTGTTGGTGAACGCAACACTGGAAGGGGGTATATGGAGTGTTAGGTTCGATTCCTAATGGCGCTAGTTACTGGGGTGTCCATGAAGTTATTCTTTTCTCGCTGGTTCTCTAAATTAAGAATTTGCTGCATTTTTCAGCGCCGAATGATCATGGAAAAAATCTTTCAGAGTCATATCTTGTTTTTCATTCCATCAGTCGTCTACACAGTGTAATGCTTTTGAAGCTTCGGTGAATGAGTAATGTGCTCCATGATGCCGTGTGGGGCTTCAGCCGCGCAAGCAATGTTTGTGCGATCAGTCGTCTTTGGCAGTTTTTGGCGAAAATGTTTCAAAGAAACGGTTCTTTTATCTCCGAATGTGACTTCAGCATTCTGGAATCTCTGCCAGGCCTTATCACGCTGTTCTGGATCCGACCTTTAGAAAGTTTCGACAAGAGGCAATCTTCTTTTCCTCTCCTTTTCAAAGTGTCCCTACATAATAGGCATAGATATTGGTGGGCCATTTTACAGGGCCCTCCTTGGCGTCCGTTTTCTGATTCTCCCAACCAGGAATTGTGCAAATATCCCACAAAGTAGACAGTGGCACGAATCGCCGTCGCATTTGAGGTTATCATGTTTCATTGAAGTACTTTCACCTGTTGGTATGATTTCAGTGACTCGACGGCTCAATTGTTCCGATAATGCAGACGCAGTAATGCGGCGGTCGCCCGAATGCAACCGCCACGGAACCAAATTGTAGTAATGCAGGAAAATGTAACTTCTCGCAGCTGGCGGCTGGACAGCATTTGCCACGATAGGCGCGCCACGCAGACAGATGCAAGTGTGCGGACGAATCCTTGCGATCATGAGTCTAAGTGCAGTTGACATGTGCAATGCACTGAGCGAGTGATTTGCTCTGCATGACTTAAGGAAAGACTGATACAAGGGCGCTCATTTATCCATCCCATACCTAGGTGAACTGCGCGGCAGTAATTCATTTCTATTTTTGCGATCATTGCTCAGACCACAGTCGCATGTGCTAGTGAATGTAAGGCGGATGACAGGTTCACCGCCATGTAAACATATGTCGACTCTACTGTGTATCGAGACTGTCAATGAAGCAATCTTTTCTTTTGACTTTTTAAATGTAACAACAATATGGTATTGGCGTTATCTGGTGTAACGTTGATCGTGTTTGCTTTCTACAGTCGAACGCGCGTACAGCTTGTCCCAGGCAGCCTCAGTATTGTATTCAGAACTCCAGAGTCCCATGAATCGCGACGTGGTTGCTGCATCAATATGTGACTGGTAATATAACCAAAAACCATTCAATGGGGAGTTGTTTTCAAATTGCCCTTTTGTAGGCAAAAACTTGCTGATCTCCTTCAATTCCTGTATGGCGGATCGGGCCGAGGTTCCGCTCTCGGATACCTACTAGGTACCTAGGCATTGCGATCAATGGATGGTGGAAGCCATATCTTGAAATCAAGCCTTGTTGGATGGAATAACTATGTTGGTATTTCGACCATGATGGGCGTGTTGATTGGATTGTTTTTATCCTTACTAATATCAAGGCGTGATTTCAATTTTGACCGGTTCCCTATAAACTCGGAATTTCATTATCGGTGCACCTGCGTTTATGCGGGCGAGATGAACAACGCGTGTGAACGAACGGTATCACAAACTTGAAACCTTAATAAATCAGGAGATTATAGCGAAAATTCGGCTTGACTACGCCAAGCATGTGCCAATATTGATCATTGTAATGTAGAAGAACCCGACAAGATATAGGCTCGAAAGACACGGTCGAGTGGACTGATAACTATTTCTTCCATGATGTATTCCTCTATTCCTTTCTCTGCCAGCTTTAAGTCCCACACAATATCAAGTGGCAAACTTCGCGGGGGAAACTGAAGAGTCCGCCTCGATGCTACCACTGAATGGTTCAGCATTTCATGAGAGAGCATCTGGGGCGGGAGTCTCAACCTCCTGTCTTGTCATACTATGCAGCCTTGGAGCATAAAGGCGTGCAACGTTGCCGTTGGCCTGATGGTTGCCCCATGTGGAAGTACAACACAAAGATAAAATGGATACCAATCTAATACCACTTCATGACGGAAGCGCCTAGTACATCAAGGCATTGTTTAGAAGCGCTATACACAATGATCATCAGAATCAACATCAATCAAGAGTGTCAACTACGCCAGAGCTAGTTTACAGGCCCATCAGTTGGAAGCTCATCGTGATCCAGCAGTCCCAAAGCTTGACGTCTGGTGGGTGCGTCGGGCTTGAAAAATGGCTTCTCTCCAAGTGTAGTAACCCTTGTTCCGTGGCGGGGGTAATGACCGCCATAGTCCCAGCTAGCATTGTGGATCGTGATGCTACAAATATAGGCATTAGAAACGTTGACATGAGCGTAATATCAGTAGATTCAAACTTACCGATTATCCCAAAGCGCAGATGTCCTGGGCGTCCACTTGAATCGCACCTGTATATCCACATTCTTCTCGTAAACGTCGTACAGGTAGTTGAGTATCACATTACTCTCAGCTTTGTCGAGACCAACAATACGGTCCGTCATGGCACGGTTGACCCACAGCGCTTTCCAACCAGTAGCAGGGTGGACACGCACAAGAGGGTGAACACGCTCAACTAGAAGCGTTCGATGTTTAGCAATGATCCACAACACTCAATACTGTTGAGAATTCATCTCAATTTGCATGCAAAAGGCTTAAAGCGCTAGGTAAAGACGAAAAATCGCGTTAAGATACGTACTGTACTTGGGGCCGGCCTCGGGGTTCTCCCGGTCCAGGTATGGGTGTGCAGATCGATAGACGGCATATTTGCCATCAATGATCTTGCGGAAATCGGGGGACAGCTTCTCATACGCGCTGTAGCCAGATGCCCACAGCGTATCGCCACCGATCGGTGGTACGGTGTCGTTATGAAGATGAGTGATGCCTGCCGGCTGCAGCTCATGCACCAAATCGGTATGCCAACGTGATGCGCCGCCGGGGTTGCGGAAGTTGGCTACGCGTTCTGTGGCTTGAAGGGCGGGCCAGATCACGGTAACTCCGAGATGACCCGGGACTTGGGGGACTTGTGGCTGTTGATCATGTTTACATTAGCTCTTGATAAAACTCATCAAGGACACAATTGCAGGAAATCCGGGCAGCATACGTGTACTTCAACCTCGCCGTAGTATTTGCCCAATGCCAATTGTTGCTGAGGGCTTATGTCCTGGTCCCGGAAGAAAACAACACTTCTCTCCGCAATGAGAAGGGCCAGTTCATCCTTTTGCTGATCTGTCAAGTCTTTGAGTTGGAGACCCTCGATCTCCGTGCCGATATGGGTTGTCAAGTCCGTAACCTTGGTGGCAGCGGAGAGCAAAGCGCTCTTGGACTTGTCAGCACGAGCGCCTGCTTCATCATGTTTCCATTCCTGGCTACGAATCTTGTAGACGTCATCTAGGTAAAGCGGTGCAGAGGGCCGATATGGATAGCCTTCCGACAGATCAATGCCGGCTTTCTGCAGGCGCGCCAAGGCCGGCTCCGGCAGTCCAAGAGTATCCTTTCTGGCCGGCGCTACATCGACTATGCGCTCGTCAATAGGTGCTGGAGCCATTGTTTTGTGTTGGTTTGAGTCTTGTGTATTTTCAAAATAGAATTCTGAGATAATGCTATGCTAAGCGAATTGAAAAAAGATTTGGATACATTGCTACAACTCTCTTATACTCAACTGCCGCCACGACATCTCGTCATATGATGGTTTCATCGCGTGGGGGAATTACTCTGTTCATTTGTCATGCTCGATATCTCGATATTGCACAGTAAGGTACTATTCACCTATGTCCGAGGCTATTTCCAATCAAATTAGGCACGGTTAGAAGTCGATGTCCGGACAAGCTGTTGCACATGAGAGCGGGCAGGTTCGAGGAAGGAAGAGCTTCCCGGCATACACGATAATGCAAGATGTAAGCACTGCTACCAACCATAAATGTATGATTGAAGCTTTGGATTGGAGTACTCAATGGATTCGCCATAAGCTAGAGCAATGATGCGACGACATAGTCGAACGTTTTGGGACATGCTCTTATACTAGTGGTCCCCCATGGAGAGGGGCCATGACGCGATATAGCTTGCAGGTGATGTGATCCATGGCAAATAGCCACATTTCAACCTTCAGCATCCGCAAATGTCGACGCTACCCCGCGTCCAGGCATTATAGTCAGGATCTCGGCCGGGACGTTGGCCACCAGATGTCCCACATCTGACAATTACGCGATGCTTCATTGCTCGTTATGGATGACGCCGCCGCACAAGAGCAGATGCGGAATCGTTGCCGGTTGGGTGGCGGGAGATAGCGCCATGACCGCAGTGAAAAAGATTGAATATTGCATATGAAATACCCATGAATGCACTGGGAATATCATATCCAGCCCTGTTACCACAACGTTGTGCATGCAGGTCTCCTCATGGAAGATAAGAAGTCGAGAGCAGGTATCTACATGTCTCCACCACCACCAGGAGGTACAAAAGCCCATGAGCGGACAGCTTCGTCTTTGGTCGTGATGGCGTGAAACCAGGGGCCTTATACGAAATCCCATTACGCCATTCAGGTTGGTCAGCAAAAACAATCAGTGTCGCAAACTTTATTGTCTCAACATGACACCTCCACAGCTCGGGTCCGGTGTCGTAATCATGGACGAGAAGCCGACTGCCGAAGGTACGGCATCGGCGGCAAGTGATGATGATTCCGGCTCCGGAACCCAAGACTTGGTACCAGTTCTTCAGGATCCGAAGAAAACATGGCGTTCCTATGTTTGGGATACTTTCGACAAGTCACCAGAGGAGCGAAGATTCTTGTTCAAGCTCGATGCAGTCATATTGACATTTGCATCTCTTGGTATGTACGATTTCAGAAAATACTTAATCGAACTTGTAAGTCTGACTAAGACAACTTAGGGTACTTCATCAAATACCTCGATCAAGTCAATGTCAATTCTGCGTTTGTCTCGGGGATGAAAGAGGACTTGGGTCTCTATGGCAATCAACTCAACTATATGATCACTTGTTGGACCGTAGGATATGTCATTGGAGAAATCCCAAGGTAGGCCCTACAGCATGCCCACCAGAATTTGTCCGTTTGCTGATATCAAGAAGCAACATGCTACTCACCAAGATCCGCCCGTCGATTTGGATACCTGCATGTGAAGTCACTTGGGCAGTCTTGACTATCTCATTGTCGAAATGCACCACGGCCACTCAAATATACGTTTTGCGGTTTTTTATCGGATTGGCAGAGTCAGCCTTTTACCCTGGTATGCAATACATCATTGGCTCATGGTATCGGAAAGATGAATTGGCAAAACGATCCTGCATCTTTCACATGTCCAGCTCCATTGGCACTATGTTCTCCGGTTACTTGATGACCGCGACGTACAGGCTGAATAACGTTCAAGGGTATAGAGGCTGGCAGTGGCTTTTTATCGTAAACACCATCATCAGCCTTCCCATCGCCATTGCCGGGTTCTTCTTCTTTCCCGATGTCCCCGAGATCACAAGGGCATGGTGGCTGAAGCCAGAGGAGATTGAACTTGCCAAAAGGCGCATGGAACTGGAAGGTCGAGCAAACCGTGGAAGGTACAGCAAAGCCAAGTTCAAGAAGATTTTCAGCAGCTGGCACATTTATATGCTGACACTGCTCTACGTTCTCTTCAACAACGGCTCGAACTATGGTAGCCAACCTGTATTTGCCTTGTGGCTCAAAAGTGAAGGCTATTCAGTTTCAGCAGTCAATTCGTACCCTACCCTGACTCCTGCAGTCCAGATCATCTTCACGCTCATCTATGCATGGACTTCGGACACCGTGTTTCGCGGGGAGCGTTGGCCGTGTATTGTGTTTTCTGGCGTCGTTAACATCATCACCAACACGAGCATGGCAGTCTGGAACATACCCAACGGGTGGAAGTGGACTTGCCTGATCCTTGGATCGATTGGAGGTGGCATCTCCGGAATCAACATGGCTTGGGCACATGAGATTTGTAGTGATGACAATGAGGAGAGGGCCTTGGTGGTAGGAACCATGAACGAGATGGCCTATGTCGTTCAGGCCTGGCTGCCACTGTTGATCTGGCAACAGGTCGAATCTCCTCGGTACCAGAAAGGATTCATCACAATGGTGTTTGTCGCGGCTGGACTGATTGCCACTGCCCTAACGATCAGAGTACTGCACAGAAAGGAGAGGGCCAAGAAATTGCGGGCACAAGAGACAGAGGGTTGAACATGGCCTCGCTGATGCCATTCGTAATTCTACCCCGTGCTCGCCGCAGGCCAAATAGTATAATCTGCAAAAGATACTTTGATAGATGAAATGACCAAGAGACAATGTGACTTATTGTCATGACTTTAACCCCGCTCTGAGAGAACATTGTCCTTCAATGACTGACCTACCAACAGCCTATACCATCATCCCATCATGCGATTTATTATGTACAAGTGCTTACGTTCTAGAAGTATTATCTCGAGATTTCCTAATACTGGTGGGTTACTGTATCCATAACCCATGCTCCAGAGACAAAAATGGAGACAGTTGGAGCCTTTCGAGCCATATGCGCTGAGCACGTAATTGTAGTACAAAGTGAGGTCATTTGTACTTAGCAATCACCGCGCCCTTACCATGAGTTGGCTGCCGGGTCGGAGTTAAGATCTGCTGACTTTTCAATCCGCTGTTGGTATTTTACCATGGGTCGCTCCACGTATTGTTCCTTCTCTTCAAGTACGGACGAAAACAGAAAGCTCAGCACAATCGCAGCAATGGGTTCACTTGACCGTACTGATCATTCGCTTCAAAGCGTGAGTGAGGTTGCTGTAATTGGTGCCGGTATCAGTGGCATCACCTCAGCTGCTCACTTGCTTCGCCAAGGCATCAAACCTACCGTCTTTGAGCGATCGAGTCAAGTAGGTGGCGTCTGGCATTATGATGACAGAGTCGCCAAGGAGCCCAACTATCCGAACATTCAGCCTCCACCACCAACTCAGAGTCGCCCCATTATATCACGAGCCAATGATTTGACGGCACAAACAAGATCTTTTGAAGACGTTTCTATCGAACATGCTCCTCCCGGACCTTGTTATAAGGGGTTGCGAAACAATGTGCCAACAGCCTTGATGAGGAGCATGCTGATGAACTGGCCAGAAGGCACACCTGATTTCGTCAGCCAAGACCACATCGACCAATATATTAGAGACCTCTCTATGTATACTGGCGCTCATGAGCGCGTGCAATTTGACACGACCGTCGACGGTGTATCGAAAAATACGGAAACCGGAAAGTGGGTGGTGAATACCCGAACACTCCGCAAGACGGGTTCCGACTTTGAGTTCCTGGGAAGACGGTGGGAATTTGATGCAGTCATTGTGGCGAGTGGTCATTATCATGAGCCCAAGATCCCGGATATCCCTGGGCTCAAGGAGTGGAAAGAACGCCACCCGGAAAGCATCTCGCATAGCAAGCGATACCGGTCTCCCGAGCCATTCAAGGACAAGACTGTCTTTGTGATCGGGGCTGGTGTCTCGTCTCTTGATGTTGTCCGAGAAAGCCACGCCGTTGCCAAAAGGGTGTATCAGAGTTCCAGAGATGGACAATTCGATATTCCAGCGAGCTTGTTACCCCCAGGAGCCGAGCGAGTTGGAGGCATTGAGAAGTTCGTCTCGTATGAAGGTTCCGCCGCGGGTGATGTGGTGCTCCAAGACGGCACCGTCTTGACCGATGTGGATGTCATTGTACTTGGAACGGGATACATCACGTCTTATCCATTCCTGGGACCACTTCAGGATCCATCCGTCCCAACAGAGGAAGCTGACGATAATATCGTGGTTAGCAAAGACGGTTTGACGACCCATAATCTGCACAAGGACATTTTTTACATACCGGATCCTACACTGATCTTCGTCGGCGTTCCATACTACACTTCGACCTTTTCCTTGTTCGATTTCCAGGCAGAGGTTGTCTCTCGGTTCCTTGCCGGGAAAGCGGCTCTACCCAGTCAGGAAGTATTGCGACAAGAGTATGACGAGCGCAAGGCTGGACTGATAGAGGGCAGCAAGACATTTCACAGTCTCCTGAGAAAAGAGGTTCCATACATGAATGGCATTCTGGAGTGGGTTAATGCAGAAGCGAAGAAATTGGGCCACGAGCCCATGAGGGGAGTTGATGATAGATGGCTCGAGCGATATGAATTCTTTGTAGCAGAGATGAAGAAGAGGAGAGAAACGGATCCAGCTGAAGACCAGGGGAAGCTCCTTATACCAGAGGGGCTGCGATTGAGTGTTGCAGTAGCAAGTGCTTGACGAACGAGTACATCCAGAAGATATGAAATAGTTGTCGAGGCATCTGGTATTTGGCGCACACTGCCTGGGTAGATGCAAATAGTTCAAGATATCTCGCTTTGTCTTTGCAGTGTCCGGACCCAATCACAGTCCTGTTTTTAAATGTTTGCTTCTTCCTCTCAGCCTGTGTACAGAGTACGAGTCACTTTGTGGAAAACTACTATTCGCATCTTGAGGGCAGGTCCGCCAACCTTTCGAGTCAGAAACAACCTCTCGCGATTGTTCGATAGCCAAGTGTTGGTATACATTGGACCTGCCAAGGTACTTTTCAGTCCGCATCTTAGACCACCAAGTGGAGTTATCAAGATATCTGTAGCATGCCAGAGAACTTGCCAAGCCCCCGATCAATTGACGAACCCCGTCGAGATCCGCGAAAGACAATCAATCATTCCTCTCCTTCTGCAAACAAACCTTACTGGTGCGCATCCCACGTAAAGTGACAAATCCCCGCCACTTACAGATAGGGGGCAGACAAGAAGAAACGTCGACTCTTTACAAGGTCGTTTTATCGAAACTCAAAGCTTGCTTTTTTTTCTCGTCCATCCCCTTGTCTGACGACGTTAATACTTCTCGTCCATCCTTGCCATCCCACTCCTTGAGGAGGTGCAGACGGGGCCAACTCCGGACGAGAAAAATCAAGAGGACATTCGACGACGCATCATCTCAATTCAGTACCATCGTCTAACCCAGGTAGGTCCAGAATTTGATTATCCCACCCTTTTGAACGTCAATCCAAACAACATAATCATCTATCCCAATTCGGAATTCTGTCGCAAGATGCAACCCGACCAGAGACAATACTTTGTCAGTTTTCACAACTGACTTCATGATTGTCTGCGGTTTCTATCAGATAACTGTATTTAAGACTGAAAAGGATAGCGCCCAGCGGCCGCCGTTGAAAGGCTGTAAGCATTGTTTCTACGCTGGCAAAGCTGGCTGCTTAGCCACTAACTTGAACCCCGCGGGCCGCAGCAAACAGCGCCTTTAGTGCTGAGCAGACTTTTAGAGTTTGATGAACTGAAGAACAGTGGGAAGGTGCCTGGCTAAAAAGGCCCTACCAGTTGGCACTACTCCAGGGCTGGTTCCTACCTTACTCACTAGAATCAACCGCCCAAGAACAATCGACACTCACCACAGCTACCGGTAACTGCCCTGACCTATCTACAAGACACTGCACTTGGGCACACCCGACGCCACACACCAGGGCCCTCAAGGATTCAGACAACTAACCGCAACAAACCAATCAGTATTGAACGCCAGATCACAGTGACGCATCACACCCACCTAGGTCCTGCAAAGTACCTCCATCTCACCTGGCAACCCGGTACCTGGCCTAGCATAGCAAGCACACTTGTGCAAGCTGCCCAAGCTGTCCAAGCTGCCTGGAGTGTACCCAAGTTGCCAAGCCAGACCTTTGAATCTTTGTATTTCCTTTTTCTTCTCTATTGATCGCAGAACGCTCTCGTGTCAAGCTACCTTTGAGCGGGTACTTTCGATTCACTCGGCGCCGAATCAGGGAGACAAGAGCGAATTGGTGGGAACAAGCCTTTTTTTTTCTGGCCTCTCACAGCGAAAAATTCCTTCAAACAACAAACGACCTCAGATAGGTAGTCTGCCAGTCGCGACCGAAAAATTCCACGACCCAGCGCGCGCCAGGCTCCATTGTAGTCGCGCTTGCCCCGCCGCATCCAGTACGACGCACCTTCGATCTTAGCTTTCGAAACTTTTTTTTTTTTAGTCCCTTCATTCTTGCCGGCCGTGCTAAACATCACAACTCGCTGACCAGTTTGAGCGACAGACAGACTCACAAGCTGGACCATGTACCATCATGGGCCAGCAAGCCAGTCAATTGGAGCGCGCAGATTTTGACGTTCTTCACGACGAACACTCAGTATCCCAATCCCCGGTTGGCGATCACCTGCGCCAGGACACAGAGCACGACGACGAATCAAGCAGCATCAACACATCATCCCAGGACTTTGCCTTCTCGAGCCAAGTTCCACTTTCCCCCAGTCGCAAGTCGCGACCGTCCAGAAAGCGCAGTCGAACCTCCATCCCCAAGTTTGAGAAAAGTTCACAGTCGCCAGAGTCTGCCATTGTCAAAGCCGAGCCAGACATCAATTCCCTCGACCAGGACTCTGAAGCTGTGTCGCCAAAGGCTGCAAAGCGAAAGAGAGGGAAATCTAAGAAGCGACAATCTTTAACTGAACAAGGCAATCTAGAAGAGGAGGACATTGCCAACGGCGCCATGGCCAAGAAAACTGCTTCTACCACTGAGCCCATGTCGTCAATGGACTTGGATGGGATAAAGTCCAGCCCTGGTGATGGGCAAGCCTCCTCCCTCGGCGACGTGACGGATCAGCAACAGGCAAAGCGAGATCGCAAGGAACGAAAGAAGGCCAAAAAGGCCGCCAAGCAAGCCGAACAACTGCGAGCTTCTCTGCTTGCAGCCAATCCCAACTTTGGCGCCCATGACGATCCCGAATCTCTAGGACAGGGACGGCAATCCCAGATGCACTTTGACCATGTCGCCGACAGCAATGTCGAGGATGGCGCTTCAAATGAACCTGGTCGTCTCGGCAGTCAGCGTTCCAAAGGGTCTGCACAAACCAATGTGGATATGCAGACTGAGTCCAAGAATGAGGCCGTTGATGACAGTCGCATGGAGGATCCCAATCAGCTACCTACACCCGACGATGAGGGACAATCAAATGTTCTTCCTATAAACACGAATTCGCATGTTCAGGCTAGCTCCGCCGCCAATGCGCACTCGAGCGCACAGCCATCTGGCCGTAAGCGCAAATCAAAGGATTCCGACAAAAAGTCACGCAAGCGACAAAGAGAGGAGGCAAGCGATAGTGCTTCAAAGGCCCCCCGTGGAGAGAGCGCCGATGTAGCCATGACTGGTACCACTTCCGTGTCTCCAGCGGTCGATGAACGATCCTCTGCGGTTCCAGAATTGCCTGGCTCCACCAGTCGAATTGGTGACCTTGCCAGAGAGTATTATTCGCAGAGATACGCAAGCAAGAACTCTACTCCGACCAAGAGCAACATGGCCGCTGTCAGCAACAAGAGACTGAGACTAGCAGGATTGGAAACCTTTGCTCCTGATGATTCACCGAGTGCAGCTCGCCAACAGAGACAGGCAACTTCTGCACGATCATCCAGCGAACGTCCCGAATCTCCTGTGTCGAAGCACATTCAGGATGCTGCTGACAGCATGGATCTCGATGCAGATGATGACTATGTAAACGAGTCACATTTGGGATCTGACGACCTTGGCGCCGACATTAACGAGAGACTCGACGAGGATGACTCAGCTGTCCCCAACGAAAGACAAGCACTGGAGAGCCCAGCACATGAACCGGCTGCCAGCAATTCCAAGTCAAAGTCCAAGACTGCACGACAAAGTGGCTCCAAGAGCAGTGCAACAAAGACAAGACACGCCAAATCGTCATATCTGGATCGCGAAGCGCATGATAACGTGCAAGCATTCAATGAAATGCCGTCTCCTGCGGTCATTGCGGCCTCGCGCAAGGGTAAAGGTCGTGCCAAGAATCCGGTTCCCGAATCTAATGCAACCGATCCTTCTCATGGGCAGCAAGGCAGCGAAAAGCAAGCCAAAATCACGGACTTGATGATGAGAACTAGACCGAGTAGTGCAGGTTCAAGCTCTCAGCGTCCCTCGGCGACGCCAGCACCCACTTTCACACGCATGTTGTCCAAGAAAGTCACAAGACTTGCCAACCCCAAACCCGAAGCTGAAGAAACTGGACCCTTTACGGGCAACGACATTCGCAACCTCAAAGAGGCCATTGACAAATGGCGTGACATGCATGATCTCACTGATGTTGAAATCAATGACATGGTGCAAAAGAACCCACAAGAGGCCAAGACGACTGACTTTTGGAACTACGTCCATCATTCCTGCCCCAACAGAAAGCGGCAGAAGGTGATAAATCAGGTACGCAAGACACACCACAACTTTGTTGCACGAGCCACCTGGACCAAGGAGCAGCACGACGAGCTTGCCGAATTGTATGAGATCCACGGCAAAAACTTCAAGCTGCTCGGTCAGCTCATCAATCGACACCCCGCTGACGTTCGAGACCGCATCCGTAATTATGTTGTCTGCGGCGACAAGCGAAGGACTGATGTATGGGATCACGAGGAGGAAGCCAAACTCATCACCATTCTTAATGAGGCCTTTGAAAAGATTCGGGAGCTCAAGGCTCATGGACGGTCTGATTTGAACCCACAGGATGACGAAGAGCTCGTAGACTGGGCTCAGGTCAGTGAGAATATGGAACACACACGCAGCCGCCTGCAATGCCAGGTCAAGTGGAAGCACCTTCGTCTAAGAATGGAGGGTGGCAATATTGATGGAAAGGCTGGTCACTCGATGGCAGATATTATTCAAACAGCCCGAGACGATTTCAAAAAGATGACAAACAAAGATCTCTTCTTGATATGCAAGGCAATCAAGAAATCAGGCACAACGTCAGACTCCCGTATCGGATGGGCCAAGCTACGTAACACGTGGTGGGCCATGGAGCAGTGGAACCGACCGGCGTTGATGCTTGCTTGGCACCGCCTGAGCCGTTCCATGCCTGGTTGGACCAGCAATACGCAGGTCCCTGAGATTGCCAGATATCAAATGGATAAGTACCAAGAATCCAAGAAAGTCCACATTCTTCCCGAATCAGAGATGGACATGGATGCCGAAACCCAGGCGCTCGAACACAAGGTCGGCAAGATCATCCGCAACACTAAGATGTACAAAACTCCTCATTTTGCCGTTAAGAGCGACGATGAGGACGACGAAGAGGATGTCGAGAATAATGAGGTTGATGTTGGCCGTCCTCAACGTTTGAACCTGGACGCACAAGATGAGAACGATCTTGAGATTCAAGAGTCAGAGAATGGCTCACAACAAGGCGATGAACCCTCAGAAGAGTACGCAGAAGCTGCAGCTCGTGAAGCAGAGACCAAGAAGAAGTCGAAGCCCAAGACACGCCGGTCTTCACAGAAAATACGACCCACGATTGAACAGTCGCCAGAGGCACAGCCCAGCAAAGCCTCACACGGCACTTCTACTTTGCCCAATGCTCAGGGAAAAGACTCAGCTAGAAGTCGTGCAGCGGGCAAGGCACGAGCTAAGCCTAGCAGAGCTCGTAAGAGCAAGGTCACGAAGACGATTGCACAGGATGATGCCGAAGTGAGCAGTGACACCGACGCCGATGACGTCGAGGACATACCTGCCGTTCTCCCCGATTAGAAGTCGAAGGGCAGACGCCAGTACGGCTTCGCCTAAACACAAATCAATGCCCACAGACATTGCAAGTTCCTTTGCCGCCTATCGGTGAAGGCCTCATTTACTTGCATGAGTGCTTGTACTTGGTCACCATTTACGTTTTGACCGACTTCAGCATTTGCAATCTTTGCCTCGCTAGGCATGTTTTGCCAGATGGGCATTGTGCTGGCACCACCACCCAGCTGTGGTTCTGGCACTCCTGTTCCCAATTGCATCATTGGAGTTTGGGAGTTCTTTTCTTGCGATTCCTTTTCATGATTTGGTGAGACCGTTCCTTGAATTTAAGGCGGCGATTTGACAACTCCTGGCCATGTTGAGACACCGCAAATGTATTCCATGCCACAGCTTGAAGTTCGAAAAGAACTGCTGGCAGATAGATACCTTTAAACATGCCATGTCTTATGGAAACGCCATCTGCTGCATGGCGGACTGCAGCCGTGCGGAGAGGTTCGTCTCAAACAAGGCATCATGGATCGGTCCTTTGCTCGAAACCCAGTGAGTGCTCTAGACATTGAAAACTAGACACAACTCCTTTGGGCATGATTGGACAGAAGGGGTATCTTACTGCACAATGGTGTCGAAGAGGTATATACTATATATGTACCAAGGTATAGATCCATAGTCTATTAATGAGACTCAGTGCATGAAAATATCTTGCTGGTTTTTTTGTTTGTGCTACTCTCGAGTTGTAAATGCAAGGCCCGTCATCTGATCAAGTGCAAAATTAAACACTTGTTACTGTGTGCATTGCCTAGATTTAATTTGCTTAACAGCGGAGTCGAATTTGCGACTAAGTCATCTCTGTGCATTCATGATTCAACTGCCTCGGCTTGTATTGGACGGAGCAGCAGCTTATAAATACGTTCTGTGCACAATCTCGTCTTCACAAATCTTTGGTATTGAAAATACAGTTTATTTAGCTCCGAAGCAAGCTCATAGACAGTGGGAACGGAGAAGTTTAGAGACTCGATAGGCCATTGGTGCAATTCTTTACCAACGGCCCCACTGTTGACCTCGGCACGGCGCAAGCAAGTGGCTCTGGGCCTCTGGCATCGGTCGCCTTAGAAATTCACCATATTGCAGATGCAGAGGGCAGTAGAAAACGCTCTTAAGACCACTAATATGACTCCGCTATCCGGATCAGGGATACCCTTTTTTGTCATCGCCGAGGCCAATTGACCAATGGCAATATGGTGCTAAACCCAGTTCTTCTAGATGCCCTGGCATTCTGCTTAGAGTTCGTCAACGTCAGTGTGTTTCGATGGAGGGGCAACCCATGGGACAAGCGGTTCGTCCACTCCGGAAGTGCGCAGCCCAACGGCAATGGAGGAGATCAAGTACGGAGTGGCTCTTGTGTTAGGGGTCATGGCTTATTAAGAAGTGTAAGTCGCCTCGGAAGACCAGCGAAGATTCCAAATACATTCCTCAACTCTTCTGATACATAAAAGACCAGAACACCAACATCAAGTCTTGGGAAACTTGGCCCGTTATCTTGATACTATACCCGACTACAAACTCCTCAACTCCAAACCCCCAACGCTCCTACGACCCCCGAACGTTTGCGAACTCGTCGATAACAAAGCCAACATGGGCCGCCAGATCCTGACCTACTACCTCAACGAGAGGCCTACGGGCAATATCGTCCATGGCCAGACTTTTAGATCAGAGAAGACCGAGGCTCCTACTGCCGACCAGCTCAAGGATGGCCAGGTTCTCGTCGAGGCGCTATACCTGTCTCTGGACCCTGCCATGAGAGGCTGGTTGAATGGTATGTGGCCACTTTCTGCCTCTTTTTTTGTTTGAGCGGGTTTCGACGAGAGATCTCCCAGTGTCGCTGAATACCGCCATGCTACTGCATATACGCAATTTCAAACTCTTTCGGCTAACTCATCGACTACTTTGCAGACATTCGATCCTACTTGCCACCAGTAGCCATTGGCGAGAAGATGCGGGGCTCGGCCATCAGCCGCGTTCTGGCATCCAAGAACCCCAAGTTCAAGGAGGGCGATATCGTCAACGCCTCCATCGGCTGGACCGAGATGGCCATTGTTGACGAGAAGCTCCTTGACAAGGTTGAACTGCCACAGAATAGCCGGATCACCGATTCGCTCGGTGTCCTGGGCATGACGGGCCTGACGGCCTACGTGAGTACTCACTCGGTCCAAGTGGTGTCGGAGAGAAACAAAGAGCTAACATGTGCCGACTTGCTAGTTTGGTCTGGAGAAGATTGGCAACGTCAAGCCTGGCGACGTGGTGGTCGTCTCAGGCGCTGCTGGTGCCACGGGCTCCGTCGTCGGTCAGATTGCCAAGCTCAAGGGCGCCCACGTTATCGGTATTGCCGGCTCCGATGACAAGTGCAACTGGCTCAAGTCAGAGCTTGGTTTCGACGAGGTCCTCAACTACAAGTCGCCAACCTTTACCAAGGACTTTGTCAAGCTGACGCCCAACTTTATCAACGTCTACTGGGACAATGTGGGTGGTGAGATTCTCGAGCTGGCGCTGAGCCGCGCCGCGTTCCGCTCCCGTTTCGTTATGTGCGGCAGCATCTCGGGCTACAACTCGCCCGGCAAGGAGTCCAAGGGCATCCGCAACCTGTTCCAGGTGACGACGCAGCGCATCCGCATGGAGGGTTTCATCGTCTTTGACTTTTTGACCGAGTACGTCCCTGCGCGCAAGGAGCTGTACCAGTGGCTCAGCGAGGGCAAGATCAAGCGCGCCGAGCACATTATTCAGGGCGGTCTCGCCAACGTCGAGAACGCTTGGGACGAGCTCTTTGCAGGCCGCAACACTGGAAAGCTCCTGCTCGAGGTCAAGCCCAACGAGGAGAAGGTGAGTGCCCACCTCTAAAGACATCTGATGCCATTTGATGTTCTTGTGCCGGAGGGGCTGGTGCAGATGCTGACGGTGTCTGTTACCTAGTGAGCAAAGCTGAATCGAGAAGGAATAACATGGGCCACATGAGATAGTCTACAAATCCGGATTTAGCTCGACTCTACACAAGAAACAAATGAAAAGAAACAAGACAAAAATATGACCCATCATGAGATGCCGTCCATGAAAGTGATATCACGCGTTTCTTTGCAAATGTCATGACTGCACGATGTCATTCAAGGCGACTTAAGATGATAATTTTTAAATTGCAAATACATGTCCAGATCATTCCCCTTCCATTTCATTATTTGTAAATGCATTAATTCCAACAAGCCGACATTTGCTACGATGTGACAAGACCCAACCCGTAAGACATACCCCTTTCTAAAACGCCATTCATAATACGTGTTTTCCCCAAAACGTCAAAATCAAGACCCCCCTATGCCTTGTATCTACCGTTTTCCCGCAAAAAAGTGATAGTGATGTGGAACCCAGCCCTGGCGATGCGATATGCCTCATACAATATTTTGGGTATACTCTGTTCCGTGCACGCACATGTGCGCCAGCTTCTGTCTCTCTCTCTCTCTTCCCCTCCATCTCCATCTGGTAAAACTCAAGTGGTATGCATGTATACCAATACACCACCACAATGTCCCGTTTGTTGTGTTTGTTTGATAACTGCAGTTCGTCCACCTGTTTGCCGTCCTTGCAAATGCATATGCACTATTAAATAACAAAACTAGAAGAAAGTACACGAAATGGGGTATATACGAGGGAGCGAAACCTGGAAGAAACAAGGATGCAAAGAAGCGCAAGATGCAAGATTCGGATGGAGGGTGGCTAATGCAAGAGGGAGGGAGTGTGAGTGTGTGTTGGGTAACGTATCAAGGTCGTGAGTGTCCTTCAAATGTCTCACTGATGGAACAAGACGAGATGCTCTGCCGGGTGATGGAGAGAGATCTCATGCCACGCAAAAGTCGAGTCCCATGCCCTTGGCAACGGCCTGCCAGTCCCACACGGCCGCCCAGTCGCCGCGCTCCATCAGCTTCCACATCTCTTCGAGCAGCTCCATGAGGCGATCGCAGTTGCGCAGGCCCGTGTAACCGCGAACACCCTTCAAAGTGTTGCGAATCCGGTTTTGCTGCGACGGCGCAAAGCTGGCACAGCCAATGATGAGGCAGGGGATGAGGAGCAAGGTCTGGCATGGGTCGCTCGGCTTGATCGAGTCTAGGATGGCCAAGGACTCGTCGACGGCGACGGTAATGCGCGCATCGTGGTGTGGCGGGTAGCGTATAGGCGCGGGCGATTCGCCGCGGCAGTTGTTGCTAAGCGCATGACTCGCTACTCGCAACCGGTCCGTCGTCGCGTGTGGGTCGCGCGCCGAGTGGACGGGTGAAGTTGGTGAAAGTGGCGGTGAGGTTGGTCGATTATACTGATCCGTAGGCATGGCCGGCGGTGTTGCCGTCGTGGTAGATGGCGGGTAAATGGTTCTAAAGAGGTACACCCACATCATCTGCTTGTAAAGAAGTCCAACGCGCTCGCGGCTGTCACCTGGTGGCCAGTGTGGCGTCCACTCCCGAATAGCAGCGTCTATCTCTGCTGCCCGAAAGAGCGAGGCGTAGTCGACTACCGGGTCAACATCATTGAGCATATTGTTGCGTATCGTATTGCGGATGGTGGTGATTTGGCTGAGAAATTTGAAGAGGCCATCAGCAACGCCGATCAATCGCGCAGGTTGAATCGGAAGCCATGGTACCCAGTCCTCATGGGCTAACCGAGGTGCGCGCACATCCGGGTAACGAATGAGCTCGTCGGCATAGACGTGAAACTGGAAGAACTCGGTGATGAACACCAGGAATCCAGAATCGGCTGGTGGTGATGCCTGGATGAGCCCCTTGTAGGCTTGGAGATGGAGACGGTGCTCGCCGTCGGATTTCCCCTCGACCATGGACTTGAGCAGTAGGCAAAGCATTTGCCCGTACCGGACCGACAGATTGACTGTCTGTTTAGCCAGGTCTGTGTTGGTCTCCTGGTTGATATCTTCGTAGAATTTGGTCATGGCCGCCTGATGATGAAACTCGGATCGTGCCGCCAGACTTTCTGCAGTGATTTTAGGGTTGGACTCGAGGAGTTTGGCGCCATAGGGTGTATTATAGTCAATATGTTTGCTTGCCAAACATAGGATAGAATGCATCAGTCCACGGTGTTCGACTGCCATTTGAAGTAGCATATCCTTGAAGGCGTTCTTGAACTGTCCTTCCACTGTGAGCACGCCGCTCAGGTGGCTAATATAGTGGTTCAGGAAGACCATATCTTCTGGCGTCTCAACGCCTTGAAAGATTGGCTGCAGTGTAATGACTGGGAGTTCCTGACTTGATCGACGTGCTGCTAAAGCATATCAGTCAGTATAATCAACCGGGGACAGATAAGCGATGTCATTTACCTTCGTCGGCCTTTTCTTTTCCGCTTTTCCATATCGTCTTTTCGTTGTAGCCCTCACACACGACAGCATTCTTTTCACAATTCATGCCTAAGTACAAACACAGTCAGTCATGGAGCAAACGTGAATGGATTGTCCATGTCTTACATCGAGGCTTTGCCTCGTCGCACTTCTTCTTGCGCTTGCGACAAGTGATACAACCTGTTTTTGACCTTCCCTTGGCTACTTTGTTTGTTGCTACGTGCGGCGTCAATGGGTGTTTCCGCGGCCGACCTCGTGGTCTTTTCGTCTTCAAGCCTTGTGCCGGGTTTCCAGACGCGGGTCTCGGCGTCGTCAGTGGTGCCTCTCTCAAGTCCTCCATGTGGAAGTCATCGTCCTCTGTTGGTTCCAACTTGGGAATTAACATGTCATCTGAGTGGTTGTCCCATTGGACATCATGTTCATGCTCGTTATCAAGGTCATGATCGTGCTCTTGGTCAGCATCGTCGCCTTCACTGTAACTTGTCCACGAGCCGTGACTCGACGAGGTTGCCGAGTGTATCAGATGTGGAAGGCTAGCTGTTACTGCGGGCATCTCCAGCTCAGTACTAACAGGCGATAGTTGGCCAGTCTCCAAACGTGTTGTTGCCGTTGCTGTCATTGTTGGCGTGGCCCAGATTGGCGACCGGGAAAGGGGGTTCAAGTTATTGTTGCTGTTATTGTCGTCTGGGGATGATGAACTTTGGCCTTCTGACCAGGACATGTCTCCATGGTCTGATAACATGGGCATCATGGCGTCCATATCTCTCAATTGCGAGCCTTGCGCTCTACTTGCACCGAGCGGTAGTGGGGAGTTGTCGGGATTCCGGGTCGGCGAGAAAGAGGAAGTATATATCGATACGAAGCTGGTAGGTTTCAAGATCAACTACCCCCCGCCAAAGGTCATGCGTCCAATACCACGGCGGTCATGCAGGGATGCTGGAGGCGAGCTGGAGCTACTCTCGGATATGGGTGGGTGTAAGACAAGACAGGCCTTTCAACCAATATTGGATTGGTTAGCAAGTGGCCGTCGGTGACTACACGTATGGAATGCTCAACCACAAAGAAAAAGAAAAAGAGGTCGAATATTCACAGGTCAGATAGAATAACCAAGATGAGGGTCAAGATCAGAGTATCAGCGGTATCGAGGATCTTATTATCTAGGCCAGCCGGAGAGAAATGATACCGCGGGGCTACTTAGCGGAGACCAAGATATGGACGGGAGATGCACATCACCTCCTGGTCACGTAGGGGTCTGTAGGGTAGGGACAGGGACCCAAGGCAAGAACGGCGGCGCAAGATCATGGAGTAGTGTAGCTGCTCCACTCATTTGTGCGGACCCTGCTTGTCTGCCGCTTCGTGAGATGATGGGCTTCCTGGCTCCTGGCTCCATACATGGTAAGACCTGCAGAGAGCGCAGCTTGGGCTCTTGAGCAACTTCCTGGTGGCAGGCAGGGAGACGGTCAGACAGACAGACAGACAGACAGACAGATACATCAATAGACCTAGACACTTCTTTCCCATTCAGCGCAGTTGATACCCATGTCACTACCATAGTACTCTTCAGGCATGCCGCGAGCCGAGTAGAAGAGGGGGGCATGGGTTCGTGCCTAATCTTGAAAAGATCAGTAACCAACTATGATTATAGTGGAAGACTGGACAACTCCGCTAGAGCGATGATGCTGTATTGTGTAGCGTGCGTGGTGAACTAGTTTCTACGCACATGAAGTATTATGGTGACTAAAATCGGATCTAGTGATGAGAGACAGCAATACGGGGTCAAATGGAGCCAACGTTGAGAAGGTTGGTGGGCTGATGGGCTGGTGAGCTGGTAAGCTGGGCTGGAATCGTTCGCTCCTTTTCCCACACACACTTTGTCTCTCTCGCCGGTATGTACGTAGTACTTGTTTTGTAGATGTGTAGTAAAAGTAGTATGGTCGATGGTGCCAACAATGGACGGATGCAGACATTTTGGACTCGGTGCTTGGCGCCTCTAAAACCCATGTCATCTGTGTACGCGCCTCCACCACACCTGTCGTCCAAGTAGCGCGCCCAGTGGCTGGACTATACCAGAAACGTGGGTGTACTTCGAGATACCTCCCAGTGCGAGGCCCTGGGGCCTGTTGGGGGTATGAATGTCGCTTTTTACTATCTGGGCACAGTAGTTCGCAGCCATGGCGCTCATCAATATCCCCAGTGCTGTGGTCTTCAATGCCGAAGAGGCAAGGGAGGGGGCCACTCTGATGCGACGGTGATGATCGATTCTTTCTAGACCTTCATTTCGCAAGCGGACAAACGTCTGCGCTCTGGACGTGAGTGCTTTCGCGGCCACAGGCGCGGAGCAAGTTGAGAGCCGAACCAGGGTACGGAGCGGAACCCAAATCGGCTACCTGGTAACGGCGCAAGTGACAAGGCCATACCTTGCGACAAGATAACAGGGCAGCACAGAGAGAGAGTGAACATGGTCAATTCTGGATGAGAGATCTCGCAGCGATGCTCTAGAAGGCAGGTAGAAACGTGTTAGACCTGACGCAACCCGCGATGGGTGGTCGATTTTTGGCTTTCCACCAATGCGGGAACGTACAGAAGCTCGAGCACGATAGACACGCGAGACATGGACTACGTGGACGAGGTAGCATCTGCCAAAAAAGAATTGTAGTTTAGGTAGCAGTAGCAGTAGCAGTAGCAGCAGCAGCAGATAGACTCGAGGGCGGGAAGGGCTCAGCGTCAACAGTCCAAGGCCACGGGAACGGTGAGCGCCATTTTCAGACTAGGCCGCCATGGGACTTTGTCTGGTTTTCACGTCGATCCCATTGCTTCTGGAACACACCCATCTTCTTGCTGTTGCCAATTACAATTTTTCTCAAGTCAAATAGCATGATATAAACCAAAAGAAAACTGACGCATTGTAACGGACGGAAATGCGAGGCTGAGGCAATATCAACGGGAGGGTCATATAGTAGGGCTAAGCCTTATGGTGGTGTTGATAGAACTGGCGGAGGGGCAATCTAGAGCTTATTACCTACCCGCTATGCCCTAGAGTTGTGGTTGTGAAGTACCCCAAGTAGAGTCAGTTCTCATGACTCTATTAAGGAAGATCACACAGATTTTTTCCCCATTCACAAGCTTGACGAATGAAAAAGATCTCCCAGCAGCTTGCTGCTTCTGCCAGAAAATATGAGGAAACGGTTTACGTCGGATCTCGAGATTCGCCAGCTGTGATTCGGTGTGAAGACACAGGGCCTTTCTGCAAAAGAATATGGAGGTGTGGGTTGGACTTCGCCCGAATGGTCAACCCATGCATGATGCGCGTTACCGTTCTGGAGCTTGCATTTCCTACTGTTGACTAGTTTGAAGACGAAGAGCTGTTGTGCAACCACATCATGTCGTTTCATCACGAAAACACAGTCGAGGAGAATTTTCTCAAGGTGTGAGGCCGTGCGCGAGCTGGACTCACTTGTGCTGTCGAGGTTGGTTACCTGAACATGCTCATATTAGTATTGATCGTCCATGGGATGAAGTTCAGAACGATCAATGGCGTTTTCTTCAACAATAGTGCACAGTGTAAAATTCATCCTTGCCGGTTCACACTGAACTTGTAGGAACAGATCATAGCTGGCTGACAATCTTCATGCCTCAGCAAGTGATTCCTTTTCAGGTGGAAGTGAGCACTCAATTTTCATGACCAAAGAAAAGTCATGGTCGACTTGAATGTTGACAATTGGCTGGAACTAGGGCAGTTCAGTCATTGCATGGTCTCTTGCCAGTCCTGTCGTCCAATAGTAGGTTGAGCAGCCGTCTATATTGCGACGTTGGTGACCGAAAGCGTACACCTCTTTTACCGGCAAATTCCTTGGGGGTTAGTTCGTCACCGAGCACTGGGACAGAAAAGAAACACACAAGTTTAGTACAACCATCAATAAGTGTCAAGCATGGCATGTCTGGGCAGAAGCTTGTTGCGTCATTCATCCCAAGATGATATATTCCATCTCCTATAACAAAGTCGTCTTATAAGGGCATTTTGCTGATGTTGCAACGTGCTTCCCGCCTTCGGAAACAACTGGACAGGCAATATGGACGTGCAGCAATCCAAGCACAGATCACCAGCTAATCGGCTTAAGAATTCAGCGCAAGAACAGGCGGGGAACGGCACAGCAGCCGAATCAGCTATCTACCATGAACCGCTCCCCGCATGCTACCTACGCCGACACAGTGGACGGCTTGATTGGTGACAGCATCTGGCCAGTGCTTTGCGCAAGGTAATAAACAAGGAGTTGCTGTAGTATTGTGGTATACCTGTGCCAACCAAGGAGCGGCTATGATACACTAGATCTTGGAAAGATGAATTTAGGCTATCTCACATTGACAGCTGATGTTCCAGTTACAGTTTTGCTTATGGGAAGAAGGCTTCAGCAGCTCATCATTCGCTGAAAGCAAAGGGGGGGAAAAAAGACATCCCATTGCCTACGGTACTACGTATACAATTTTCCTCCCGGATCTTCGTTTGAAGACGTCTTGCCATCTCCTGTGCAGAGCGCAGTCAAAAGTGCCGACATTAAGCAAGCCATGAATGGAGACACTCTAATGAAGCTGGCCTTACCGCTAAAGGCGTCTTCCGGCAGTCATTATCAGCGACCGTTAGAGCTTACATTGCGGACCGATGATTGCACCGTCTCAAGAGGCCATTGAGCCTTTTCGCCTATCTTTCCACTTTGCCAAGGGTCAGACGCATCCACTTTGCAGTATCTCTGGAGCTCGACTTTGGACCTCGGACTCTAAGCCCAGACACAGTGGCGATCAACTTTCACTGAGAGATATGGGAGGAGGCGTCGAGGCTTTTCTCGAGGGACAAAGCTGCAGTGAAACACTCGAAGCAGGACTTGAGAATTTGCCGGCTAGTCCCGAAAATTTCCCACAGTCTAAAGACGCCGTGCCCACTCCAAATACCGCAGCGTCGTAGCAGATTGTGGAGTCTGTATCTTGAACGGGTATAGAAAACCGGCAGCGCCTATGACATGCGCAATACCATCCGGACAACTAGGCTGCCGACGGGCCACGGGTGCAACATGTCGACGCAGTCGTCCAAGGTATCATCATGAGCAACCCCCCACGTTGCCGATATCTCACCATTAAAACACCCTGCTCTAAGTTTGTTCCAGCGGCTCTTGGGTAATGACCTCCCCATACGGAATAATGCTGATGAGCCTATACTCTTCCAAGCGTGTGCCAGTCGCTGTGATCTGCATCACATCTATCTACTTTTGGATCAACTCTAAAAAGAAGCTCTGCAAGTGACACTATCTGAAAGATCTTGTAGAAAATTGGCATTCCTCCATTGTTCTACCAAGCTCTGTTTTGGAACGCAAAGGAGTCTCTTTCGTTGAGGTTTCAGGTTATGCATACCACTCATACCACAGCACAGCCGTACTGCCCGTGAGTGCTTCGCAGAAACGCCTCTGCGATGCAACTCGGCACACCACTAGAGATAGAAACACCGTGCACCCACGAGTTGCCACGAGTACATACGCACCAAGACACGTATACATGGGGACTTTGACAGCTCCTCGCCCCGACCTTCGGGCTGGCATCATTCTACCTAGACAGCCAGAGATTTTCGCTTCTCATCGGCCGGGGTTGTCTTGAGGTCTGAGCACTCCTCGCAACCTCGTGGCGGACTTGGAAATGACTTGCGTGCGTATGCTCCAATGCCTTAACCTGACCTGGGGTGGGTAGCACGACACCGGTTGGCCCAAAACGGAAATC